CACCATCTAAGTTTTTTTATTAAGTCTGTCACGTCTTTACCCAATTGCCGCCATATACCTAAAACTTTTTAAAATAATCATAGGTAATTTGTGGCCAGTTGTTGACAAATACAGCCGGGTCGGTCGTTTGCCTAGTCTCAGAGGAAAATGTTAATAAAAAAATGCGAAACCGGTATGTGGTCGCCGACAGAATCTGTGACTGGCACTGGGCATCTCGTTCTTGTAGACATCTATCGAAGGTTAAACTTTATAGGTATGTTGTACTTTCATTGGTTCATCTCATGAGTTGAATAACTTCTGAATGAGTAGGTACTCATGAGCTTATCTACTTTTATACCTATTTTAAACTAAAACTTTAATAAGTCCCTATTTTTTTTTCGATTGCAACTTATTTTTTTTCTAAGTGCTTGGTACTCAATGCTTGTGCTTTAAAATGTTGAATGTAACACAGTAAGAACTTCTCTTATTATGAACTTTGTGGAGGTAGTGTTAGGTTACGTTAGTTATAATAAATTTTAATATTTTTAATAGTTCCTCGAACAAAACGGGAGCTCTACGAGGAATACCTCAATTATACTTATAACTGATAGGTCCATGGTTTCAACCTTAATTTAAGTTACTTAAATAAATTCTTGGTGCAGTTATCTCAGTTAGCATTAAAGCGTCTTCAGCTTGCGTTAATCTCCATGTTAGAGATGAGTACAACGTTGTCCTTACAGACAATCTTGTTATATTGACACAGTTAGATTAGATTAGATTAATGTGAGATTCTGAACTGTTGCATAGATAGATACTTACTATTATTTGCTCTATTTACTCAGTATTTGCATTTCGGTAATTTTCGTAGAATATAGGCACGTAGTCTGTAGCAAATAAAGTTGTTTGGAATGTGAATAAGCGTATCTGTGACATTATTATTGCTTATGCACCTATGGTCATACTTGTTGGAAAACGTTCTGTGAAGTGTGAACTAAGTAGGTCCATATTGATCGAAAGAACTCATAACTAGATTTATCGACACTAACTTCTTAGAACCAAAAATCTCAGTTTACTTAATAAAGCAGGATTATACTATATGTGATCTACGTAACGGTAAGACGATGAGAAGGAAAAAATGCAACAAAATATTCAATATCATTTTTTTATGGAATAGGTAAGCCGATAAACGAGCAGATGATCACCTGATGGTAAGCAATCGGCGTCGCCCATAGACGTCCGGAACACCAGAGGCGTTACAAGTGCGTTACCGGCCTTTTGGGGATTAGGAGTTTAAGGATTGTTGGAGAATCAGGAATTGGAGAGATTGAGGAAGGGGGTGGGGTAATTGGGCTTTCGATAACCTCGTTTAAACGACGAAACAACGCAAGTGTTGCTTCACGTCGATTTTCTATGAGGCCGCGATATTACTCCGGTCGAGCCGACCCATGCGTGCCGAAGCATGGCTTTCCCACACTTCAATTCAAAATTCAATCTATGAAAGAACTTCTGGTTTATTGACAGTAATGAATATAAACGTTCAGGGATAATAAAACCAATTTGTATCAGCCAATACTTTTATTATAGATTTTTCACAAATCACTTTAACACTTGTGTCCACTTCGACTTATCGACATCGACTCCCTTACCATCGTGCGCACTACTCCCCACTTCATGTATGTTCTACCGGAAGCTGCATAGAACGATATTTTAAATAAAACGTAATGATACAACCGGAAGTAGTGCGTACGATACCACTAAATTCTTATATTAAATAAATAAATTAACACCTTTTAAATATTGTTATTAGATTTAAATACAACGAAGTAAATTAAACATAATAATTGGGCGAAATAATATTTTAAAATGATGTATAAATTCCGGATGTTCGATTATCAAAGAAAGGGTTTCTAACAGTCGGCCTTTCCTGATACATTTCCCGTCTCGGGAAAATTAATTTTCGTATAAAGTAATGAAATCAACAATCAAAAATATATCTAAACTTAAATTTTACACAATACTTGAATTATTGAGAATACATTATAATCATAACCATTAGCTGGATTAATACTTTTAACTAGATAAACCACTTAATTTAAGATGTCAAGGCCTCAGACATATCCTTAACACCTGTCTTAGCTGGGACCTCAGACATATTCCCAGATAAGCCACTTAGCTTAAGATGTCAAGGCCTCAGACATATCCTTAACACCTGTCTTAGCTGGGACCTCAGACATATTCCCAGATAAGCCACTTAACTTAAGATGTCAAGGCCTCAGACATATCCTTAACACCTGTCTTAGCTGGGACCTCAGACATATTCCCAGATAAGCCACTTAACTTAAGATGTCAAGGCCTCAGACATATCCTTAACACCTGTCTTAGCTGGGACCTCAGACATATTCCCAGATAAGCCACTTAAGATGTCAAGGCCTCAGACATATCCTTAACACCTGTCTTAGCTGGGACCTCAGACATATTCCCAGATAAGCCACTTAACTTAAGATGTCAAGGCCTCAGACATATCCTTAACACCTGTCTTAGCTGGGACCTCAGACATATTCCCAGATAAGCCACTTAACTTAAGATGTCAAGGCCTCAGACATATCCTTAACACCTGTCTTAGCTGGGACCTCAAACATATTCCCAGATAAGCCACTTAACTTAAGATGTCAAGGCCTCAGACATATCCTTAACACCTGTCTTAGCTGGGACCTCAGACATATTCCCAGGTAGGGTCTTAGGCTTAATGTTAATGTACTAGTATCACTACCAATCAATCGCAATTTAATCTGTCTGGTCATTATCCGACGTCTCAGACTCTGAATCTGATCTATTAAAAACTACCCAGGGGTGTATTTTATCTACTGAAAAGATGCCACTGAATTTTCTATTTCCCTTTTTAGATAACGGTGTATCCTCAATTACATATCGGTCGTTATCGAGTACATCTGCTATACGATACGGACCTCGAAGTTTTGGAACTAATTTCCTACTTTGTCCTACTGATGGAATATCCCTTTCAACCCTTACAAGTTCTCCCACATTATACTTCACTTCTTTCCTAGCCTTATCAAAACGTTCTTTTTGTTTCTTTTGATTTTCCTTAACATACCCTGAGATTTCTTGCCTAGTTTCCTCTAACGAGGAGGTTGTACTTTCGGTATTGTTTGCAATGTTAAGCTGTAATAATGCATTTGAGGTACTAACTAAATTAATCCCAAACAGTGCCTGAGCAGGGCTTTTCCCAGTACCCTTATTTAGTGTATTATTAAGCCCCCACTGAATTTCTGAAATATGTTCATCCCATTCATTTTCAGGTTTGCCATAATTGGAAGCGGTTAATGCTGCTAAAACACTTCTATTATAACGTTCGACCTGACCATTGGCCCGCGGGGTCGCTACAGCATTCATGACATGTTTAACCCCTAATGAATTTAAGTAATCACGAAAAGCTTTAGAAGTAAATGACGTACCTCTATCGGAAATAACACGTTTTGGAACACTAAATGTATGAAAATAATTTTTAATAGCTTTGATGGAATGGACAGATTTAGTACTTTTAACAGGAAAAATTATTATAAACTTCGTGAACGCGTCATAATCAACAATAAGTATGCATTTTTGTGCTTACTTCGAACAAAGGGACCTAAATGATCAATGTGTATAGTATGGAATGGTTGTTCCACCTTCTCAATGGGATGTAATTGGCCTGACTTTTTCCCAGTTGGTATTTTGGAGTGAGCACATTCTAAACATGACTGGACATACTTTTTAGTGAATCGTCTCATTTTAGGAAACCAAAAATTGTTTTTAATTATATCTAACGTTTTATCAAGACCGAAATGTCCAATTTCATCATGGTTTGACTTCAAAATTTGCCATCGAACGCCTTTCGGCACAACCCAACGATCACCGGTATCTGTTTTTCTGTATAATAGTCCCTTTTCACAACAAAATTATTTTTAATGTCTATAATATTGTCATTTTCTTTATCATTTAATATAGCTATAATTCTTTGCAACTCAGGATCGTTTTGTTGTACCGTAGCCACCCAATGTGTATCAATTCGTCTTACTTCTAGTTCTATTATTTCTGATGGAATAGGGTTTCGGCTCAGAGCATCTACATGAGTCATACCTGTGCCTGGTTTATAAACTATTTCAAAGTCAAATTCTTGTATAATGCTCCACCATCGTGCAACTCTAGGCAGTATGTCTCTCTTTTCAAAGGTTGCACGTAGTGAATTGCAATCGGTAACGATTGTAAAATGAATCCCTAACAGATAAACCCTAAATCTCTGAAGCGACGTCACTACAGCCAGCGTCTCTAAGTCGTAAGAGGTGAATTTGGCCTCTTCGGGGGATGTCTGTCTACTGTAAAATGCCACGGCACTAAAGGAAACCTCTTTATTTGGCCTTTGCATTAAGATCCCAGCAACCCCGACTTTAGACGCGTCTGTATGCAACTGTGTTTCAAATTCGGGATTGTAAAACGAGAGAGTGGGTCGTTTAACTAATTCCGTTTTTAGATTTAAGAATGCAGATTCTTCTGCTTCTCCCCAATGCCATTTTGAGTCCTTTCTTAAGAGTTTTGTTAGTGGTTTTGCTATTACTGAAAACCCTCTTATAAATTTACGAAAGAAACTCGCTAACCCTACAATTGCCTGACCTTATGTTGATCTGTTGGTCTAGGAAATTGATCCACGGCTTCGGTTTTCTTTCTGCCTGGTTTTACTCCAGATGCACTAACTTCAAAACCTAGATAATCTATGGATTGTTTCAGAAAATTACATTTTGATAAATTTAGTGTGATGCCGGAAGATCGGAAAAGGCTTAATATATCATGTAATCTATGCAACCCTTCTTCTATGGTTCTGGATGGTATAATTACGTCATCCATGTAAGCAAATGCCTCCTTGAATCTCGCGTTCCCCAAAATACTATTAACAGCTCTTTGAAATGTTGATGGCGCATTAACTAGTCCAAACGGCATGCGATTAAATTCATAGTGACCGTCTGGGGTCACAAAGCTGTTAGATGCTTTGCCGATTCCGCCATTGGGATCTGATAATATCCTGAGGCGAGATCAAGAGAAGTAAAGTATCTATGACCTGATAGATTATCTAATTGATCATCTATACGAGGCATAGGATAGTGTTCTTTTATGGTCTTTTTGTTAAGTGCCCTAAAGTCAATACAGAGACGGTGGTCACCGTTCTTTTTGCGTACTAATACGATTGGGGATGCGTAATTTGACGACGACTGCCTAATTATTCCTGAGTCAGTTAAGTCTTGTATCATGTCACGAACTACATGCCTTTCCGAATACGACAATCTATAAGGTCTGTATACTACAGGAGTGGTATCGCTAAGGTTTATATTCATTTCTGTACCACTTATACACCCTAGTTCTTTAGCCGAAAAAGCAAAACAGTCCCTAAACTCATTAAGCAGTTCCATTAATCTGGTCTTATGTTCAGACCCAATATCGTCATCAACCTGTACCAATGAGAGATTAATTTGGGGTGTTACTGTATTATCTGGACAATGTTCTATTCTGCCAATATTTAGTGCCTGTGCTTCACTTAATGGAAGAGCCCGAAGCAATAAAGTATCTTTCAGCAATTTGAATCCAGAATTTAAGCCTTTGACAACAATCGTTCCCTGCCCATCATTCACTTGTATTACACTTTGAATGATCTCGTATTGTTTATGAGTATCCTGACAAAAAGAAGGTTCAACAAATAAGTCGCCAGTAAACCTTGGTTTCGTATGAATACTCACTAGGGTATACCCATGTATGGTGAGTGAGTCATTAACATATACTAATACGTTATTAGTTATGTTCGTGGTTATTTTAAGCTGGTTGTTAGTCTTTACGACGACAACATGTTCTTGTTCCGTGAATGTTTGTCCTAAGAGTAAAGGAACTTGTAACAGTTTATCCGGCACTATAAGGGTTTCTACCATAGCAATGACTGAATCTATTTTTATCTCAACACTGCATTTACCTAAGCAACTTACAACACTATCCCCAAAACCTCTCAATACAGGTAGTTCTGATATAGACCATGAGCAAACCAAATTCTTAGCCACAGATTCTTGCAGCATGGAACATTGACTTCCGAAATCTATAAAACAATCTAAAGTCATACCATTTACTACGGCAGTTTTAAAGTATTTAGAGTCACTATCGGGCTCTGATGCGATTCTTAAAACTGTTTTATTATTAGTATTAGATTCTTTGGTGCCTGGACATCCACCAGCTAAGTGCCCTACTTGACGACATTTGTCACAACGCTTGATTGGTAGTTTACATTTGAAATATGGGTGCCCCTCTTCACCGCAATTATAGCATTTTGTCAGCCTATAGTTTCTATTGTTTCCGTCATGCTCATTTTGAGGTCCTTTTAATGTCTTAGATTGTTTGTTTTCTGCGTTGCCCACCCGCAGGGATGAATTTGGCTTGTTATACTTCTTAGTAGTTCTAATATTTCTGAGATAAACTAATAATTTATCAGGTTCCGTGAATTGTGTGGCTTCTGCACTTGTTCTGACGGACCTATCTTCAATCCCAAACAAAATACAGTCTATTGCATTTTTACCGTGTATATTACACCTATTTAACAAGACAACCTTTTGATAGAAATATTCTTCTAAGGACTCGCCAAATTCAGCCCTGCAAGCTAGCATTTCCGTTAACAGTTGACCATAGTTTTGGTCACTTGGAAATGCCAATTTTAATTTGTTCTGCCATTCAGACCATGAAAACAACATGCTAGGTAGGCCTTGGTACCATTTCTGAGCCAATCCCGCTAATTTAGGAAGAGCATAGTGGAGGGTTTGCCTTTCGGTCCAATTATATATTTGAGAACACTCGTTTACTTTATTTATCCATGTTTCTACTGTTTGAGTTCGTTTACTAGGGTCAAATTCCGGTATTACATTCAAAACCGGAAAACGTTCATTACCCCCATCTGCTTTCATGGTCTGCATGAGCTCTTTAAAAACCGAAACTATAACGTTAGTATTAGCATCTAATTCTTTGTTAGAATGAAAAGGACTCACCATTGTTGCTGGCGTAGCGTTTGAACATGATGCTCTGGTTTTGTCTTGACTATGTCTTGGCGGTATCTCACGATTGCATGAAGCTTCGCAACCGTGAGCCATCTCCCGACTTGGCAACGCATCACGTGCCCGCAACGCATCACGTACCCGCGACGCATCACGCACCCGCGACGCAACACGCATCCGTGACACATCACGCACCCGCGACGCATCACGCTCCCGCGACGCACCACGCATCCGCGACGCATCACGCACCCGCGACGCATCACGCTCCCGCGACGCATCACGCACCCGCGACGCATCACGCCGACGCCTCGAACCAGGATTGCCATGACGTGCATAACGATTCCTCGACTCGCTTGTTCTCGATCCACTCGACTCGTCACGGTCGCGGCAAGTGCGGCGTCTCCGCACAGCAGGCTCAGAGCCACTTGGTGACGAGCTAGACTCCCTGTTGCGTCTTCGAGACTTTCTTTCGCCAGTCATTGTTGCTAGAAATAAATTAGTTACAAAAAGTCAATGTTCTTTAATTGATTACTTACCTAATAGAATCTTGCTAATCATCTTTTAAATATTACACGAAAAGAAGAAGTAAAAAGGAGGAAAGAAAGAAAAAAAAAAAATGTATGTTAAAACTCCAATTGTGGGTACTAGAATGCTATTAAACATTTATTTATTGACAGTTAAAGTTTCGTTATTTGAGATAATAATAAGTTGAGAAAAATATTACATTACCTTCTATGGGCGTTGAATCCTTCACCGAGGACGATTATTAGTCGTTATATCGATTATATCCCACTTCTGAACTATAAACGTTCAGGGATAATAAAACCAATTTGTATCAGCCAATACTTTTATTATAGATTTTCACAAATCACTTTAACACTTGTGTCCACTTCGACTTATCGACATCGACTCCCTTACCATCGTGCGCACTACTCCCCACTTCATGTATGTTCTACCGGAAGCTGCATAGAACGATATTTTAAATAAAACGTAATGATACAACCGGAAGTAGTGCGTACGATACCACTAAATTCTTATATTAAATAAATAAATTAACACCTTTTAAATATTGTTATTAGATTTAAATACAACGAAGTAAATTAAACATAATAATTGGGCGAAATAATATTTTAAAATGATGTATAAATTCCGGATGTTCGATTATCAAAGAAAGGGTTTCTAACATGAAGAAATTCCCAATTGTAAATGACGTGTTCACGCAGAAGTGTATAAGCCTGAAGAAAATACTGCCAACATTTCGTGTTATTTTAAGAATATAAAAATTAATATCTAAATTAAATCCTAAGCGCAAACAGACACGAAAAGGCGTTACTTTGGTAGTTTACATTTACACTGATATTACATGAATCACTCGTCTGTTGGTTTACTGATTGTGAACGTTTCTCGAAACTTGAATCATTATTTATTTTATGTCGATTTTTTACTTTTTGTTTATCACTATTGTTAACTAACTATCGAGTTCTGTACTCTCTTTATATCGTGTAAATAAAGATATTTTTTAAAGAGTGTATTAGTACCTATTAGTATTATAGGTAGGTACCTACTATGTAGATCTACATAGGACTCAAACTCAAACTCAAAACTCATTTATTTCAATTAAACCATAGATATAGGTATAAATTATACGACAGGAAAAATTAGTTATCTACCATAAATTATAATGCGCTGTATTTACATAGTATAAAGAACAAAGTAGGTTATCTTCATACAAATGCTCCGCGCGCGGCTTATATGTGTGCGCCATAGTATCTATGCGTCGACGCACGCACACTTTAACAAAATCTCGACCCGTTTCTCAGTGCGCCAGGCAGGGCTAACACTGCACGAGGTTCGCGCGCGCTTCAAGGCTTTTCGGCACTGTTCAATGAAATAAAAAATGTCTGATAATCGTAGAAGAACGTATTGCTGTGTGTTTGGGTGTCTTAATAATTAATTGATTCCAGAACTGTCTCTGTTCAGATTAGGTACCTATTGAACAGGAAAGGTAAGCTAGTCACTTTTTCTAGCATAATATAATTTGTAGGTACTTGATGATGAGATACCTACTTACTTATTCTTACTCTTATCATTCTTCATAGTTCCTACTCAACCAGAAATGTAATTACCTACTATACTTAAATATTATAAGAAAATGTGGTATTGTATTGTTTATTTCACAGTTTATCTGATTTGTTAAGAACGTAGCCGAGTCGCATTTTTCCATATAAATGTATTCCCAAATTTACTTTCTGAATACTATGTATAGAGCTAAAGTTTATTTTAAGAAGTTAATAATCTTTTTATAAGCTTTTTATTTTTACTAAATTTATAAATTGATAAAATATTCAATCATAATATGCTTTTCTTTTCATAAATTTAGATCAAGTGCTGCTTGTTCGAAAATATTAACTAAAAGTAAAAGTGACAACCCTGGGGATCAACGCAAGAGTAGGCTAATAACTCGGCGGGCGGCCTTAGACAACCTACTGTATATGTTTATACTGTGGTATTTATGGGTATCAATACATATCGAACATAGATACCTAACTAAACAAAGAACAGGAGCAACATTACTTTTTTATTGAAAAAATACGGTTTCCAAGAATAATCGTGTAAATGTTTCCTACACTAAGTAGGTACTTACAGCATTCCGAACTAAGATTGGGATGATTGATTGGATGCTATTTCACCAACAAACAAAACCGCTTACGTAATAAGTAGGTTCTTATAGTTCAGAATACCAATTTACGAGTTTTGTAGCCGTTCATATTATTTTACTGATTTGCGCATAAAAACCCATTTGTTAGTTCTTTACATCTCATTTTACTACCGGCAGAAAATTTCAGCCGTGTATTTTTGAGATTTTATTTTAGCTTGGTTGGTTAACTATTTGTGTGGTTTGATTCTCGTGCTTAGCAACGTGTTCCACAGATATTGGTATTGGAATTCAATATGATTGTGCAGATTTGTGCCTTACTACGTCTAAGGCATTTTGTCTGTGGCGCTTGCTCTCGCTCATGAAAATGTAGTCATCAATTATAGACAATAAAGGGTTAAATTAATTAATATAACACCTACTTCAGCCAAGCTCTTCAACAGAAGGAACAATACAGGCTATTTCCATAATGTTCTACGTATTTTAGCATTATTAAAAAACTGCGTTTAAAAATCCGACTTAAAAATGAATAAAAAGAAACAAAGTGTAAAAACTAAAAAGCAAAAATAACTATTATTAGTACTGTTAGGTTACCTACCCACTGAACTCCCACACCCACTAAGGTTAGGTTAGAAGTCGGCGCCATAACTTCTAAAGATACCTAATATTAAGCTGTTTACAATTTTTACCGACTTCAAAAAAAGGAGGAGGTACTATGTTCGGCTGATTGTTTTTTTTTTTTTTTTTTTTTGTTTGTTCGCGCAGTACTCCGCCGTTTGTGGACCGATTTCAAAATTTTTTGTTTTGTTTCAAAGGGTATACTCCCGAGATGGTCCCATTTCCATGAAGTCAGGATCTGATGATGGGATCCTAGGGAAACCGAGGGGAACTTTCGAAAATTCTATGGGGGAGTCATGCGTCTATTATGTTTTCCAATTAAGAATTTTAAACACTACAATTAGATAAGGGTCTGGAGTCGACCTGATGATGGAGTCGACAGACAGTCTAGGGAACTCCTCAGCGGTTTATATTAACTACCTTGTGTTTGGGCTTGATTAATTTGTATTGATGAGGACTTTACACCTAGATAGAGTGGGGCTGTCATTGAGGGTCTGATGATGAAGAAGTGTAATTGTTAAGGGAACTCCTCAACAGTATACAGTAACTACCTTGAGTTTGGGCTTGATTAATTTGTATTGATGAGGACTTTACACCTAGATAGAGTGGGGCTGTCATTAAGGGTCTGATGATGAAGAAGTGTAATTGTTAAGGGAACTCCTCAACGGTATACAGTAACTACCTTGAGTTTGGGCTTGATTAATTTGTATTAATGAGGACTTTACACCTAAATAGAGTGGGTTTGTCATTAAGGGTCTGATGATGAAGAAGTGTAATTGTTAAGGGAACTCCTCAACGGTATACTGTAACTACCTTGTGTTTGAGCTTGTACAATTTGTATTGATTAGAACTTTGCACCTATGTATATTATAAGTAACAAGACGGGTATATGTAGCTTTACACTGAAAATGGTAAAATAATAAAATAAAAACTGCGTTTAAAAAACCGACTTCAAAAACCAAAAACTAATAACAAACAAAAAGTCAAAACCAAAAAGCAAAAAGTAACTATTATTAGTACTGATAGGTTACCCACCCACTGATAGGTTAGAAGTCGGTGCCATAAGCTCATATCATAATGATGTAATTTAATGTCCACAAAATTGTAAATTAGGTACCTACCTATTAAGGTTTTAATGAATAATTTTGTATGGAACTTATGGCACCGACTTCTTACCTATCAGTGGGTGGGTAACCTATCAGTACTAATAATAGTTATTTTTTGCTTTTTCGTTTTGACTTTTTGTTTGTTATGTGACCAGGAGACAAGTGTCATCATTTTGATATTCCCTTACCGCCTACTTTTTTTGAAGTCGGTAGTAACTGTTTAGTGTTTCGTTAACAGATCATTTTGTTGACTATCCGAACCGAGCTCACTACTATAAAACCTTATATTTGTCTTTATTAATTCCACCCGTTTGTTATTACAACACACATAATGATACCGAGACAAGACCAATGGGATGCGCTCGTCAATTTGTCGCGATAAATACTCACGAATTGATTCTTAACAAGCTTAGATTGAAATATTTCCGAATCATGCATTAAAATATCGACAGGCTACATACAGTACACTTCTAAGAACTTACTTGGTTTAGGATAAGTAAATAGGCGTAATGTTTCTTATTACATTTTTCGTTCAAACTAAATGTATTAAGCACCTAGATACTATATAATATTACTAATAGTATTATGTATCTATAAGTAATAAGTATAACTAGTTTAAAATACCCTTGGCTAGTGTCCAGTAAATAGGTACATATCTATGAACATTTATTGTTAAGAATAACAAAAGAAAATAAGAATGTAAACTATGATATCAGCCACTCATAAAAATGTTTATTGTCTCGTTGCCATGGTTACGTACTTAATACATAATGAAGGAAATCCTGGTTTATTACGATTAACATTTTTTTTTATGTTAATAGCTAATAATGATTTATCTGGTAGAGATCAATAGGTATCTACCACATACTATGTGTACCTATGTAGAGGTAGTATACCCACTGAATTTCGTACTTGAATTATTTTACTTTAAATAATTTAAACGCAATGACCTCCTAACTAAAAATTTCGATCTATTAGGAAAATAAATTAAAAAATGTAGGTTTGTAAACACCTAAAATTATTTTTGAATATCGAATCACAAGTCATTGACTTTAGGTTGGTCTTCAGATCACATCACACACATAAAATACAGGGGCACAGACCTGAATTTCGTCTTGTTTGTTATAGATGGAGCTTTAGCCTATTTCGTCGTGGATTTAAACATGGACTTACCGTGGAAGACTTGTGGCAAGCCCGAGACGGTGACCACTCGGGCCGGCTGGGAGACCGCCTCGAACAAGCATGGCAGGAAGAACTCGACAATGCTAAGAGAAAAGGCATCAAACCATCTTTCTCAAAGGCCATCGTTCGGTCGTTTTGGCTTGAATATTTGATGTGCGGCCTAGTTGTAGGATTACTGTTCATCTTTTTATGGTAAGTAATCTTCTTCACTTCGTGTTTAGCTAGAAGCATCTTGAGAATTATTAATTATTATGTTACTATAGTCTTATCTTGTCTTGAAGTAATTGCACGCTCATTACGGGATCGAGAGCAAGCTGTGAGCAAAGGTCGAATTCAATCTACTGGTCTCAATGAAACTGTAGAGTAATAATTCGTGCACGTGATTTCTTGTGTTTATAACTGTGTAGTGTGTAGCTATTGATTACCACTATTTACTACTTACCTAATATTATTATGTAGAAGTTACAATTATCTATAAGCATGTTCACTATTATTTATTTATGTTTTATTTTATTTTCAGGCCGTTAATTCCATTTACGTTAGCTTTATTCATTAATTATTTTTCTGAAGATAAGACCCCCGAGAGTTATAGAAATGCACACATTTACAACTTTCTCATGAACTTCCTGAGTATACTGACGTCATTGATGCTCAATCATTTACAATTAAGTCAAGGACGAGTAGGAATGAGAGTGAGAATAGCTAGCTGTTCGTTATTGTATAGAAAAGTAAGTACAATTGTATCATTATGCTTAGATCTAGAATTCTTGATATACATAATACGTAAATAACCATTCGTACACGTGGGTTAAGTTTTCTTTTTAATTAATATCTCTCTATCAACATTTTAGATATTAAAACTCGACAGAACTGGGTTGAATAAAACGGAGCCAGGACAAGTGATCAACCTGATGTCTAACGATGTAAATCGTTTTGATTTAGTGGCTCTGTTTTTGAACTATTTGTGGGTGATGCCTATCGTGGTGCCAGTGGTCTCCTACCTGGTATGGCAACACGTTGGCTGGGCCACACTCGCTGCACTCGTCGTCATATTCGTACAAACTGTACTTGTTCAAGGTGAGTGAAAATTGCACTGCACTTATGCACTTACGTGTGATCATGATAATTTATAATAGAGGACCTAAGATAAACACACTATGTGTAAATGATAAATAGCTGCTTCACACAAAAGGCTGCGCATAAACTCGAATGTAGAAGTATCTGTTTCTATATAGGTATGACGATTGAATGTAGGTACTACACTCTTCTACCGTTATGGCCCTGATACCTAATTATTTCCTAGAATGACAATAACAACAGAGTTTGAGTTAACCGGAGCATATTTTTATTGTTTCTAGCCTACTTAAGTAACCGCCAAGGAGTATTACGTGGAAAAATAGCTAAACGCACAGATGAAAGGGTAAAAGTTATGAGTGAACTTGTTAACGGTGTACAAGTCATCAAAATGTATGCCTGGGAGAAACCTTTTGAGAAGTTGGTCGACAAACTGAGAAAGTAAGTAGCCAGACAACAACCTATATACATTATCATGTTTCATTTAAAGAAAGTAGGTACGTACTTAAGTATAAAGAACCTCTTATTAATGTAACAATATTTTCTTGTTGCTAGGATGGAAGTGAGCTTCATAATGCGCACATCTATGATCAAAGGATTCTCGACGGCGCTGAGCGTGTTCACAGAGCGCTTCATCTTGTTCTCTGCTGTTGTTGCGTTTGTGGTCATGGGCGGAGACATCCGCGCCGAGATCACGTTCTCACTCGTTCAGTATTTCAATCTGCTCCAACTTGCTTGCAACATATTCTTCCCACTGGCCCTCGCATTTCTGGCAGAAACTAAAGTCTCAGTGAGACGCCTTGAGGTAAACCACAAAAGTACACTTGCGTTAATGTTATTACTCATTAAACACGGATGTTCCATTCCATCCTTTATCTCTTCACGTTATATTTAAACGGCTATGTTTTGTTTAGGAGTTCTTGTTGTTGGACGAACTGACACCTGCGAAGTTGCCGCTATCAATCGATTCGAAGGAAATAATTAGCAATGGTACTGAGAAGGAAAAGCCAAAGCATACGGGCTTGATAATGAATGGGTTGAGCGCAAGCTGGCAACCAGAAGCCATTGTAAACACGTTGAGGAATATCACTCTGACTGCAGAACCTGGAGAGTTTGTGGGCATTGCTGGCCTTGTGGGATCTGGAAAGGTACAATATAAACCAGTCTGATAATATTTTCTGTAAATACATCCTAAACAATATAAAAATACAATGAGGGTAATTTAGCCTTCTCTGCTCATAGCGTACCTAATTATTTACGGTGTTTATGTCAGTAGCATATTTATACGTATATGTACTTAGTTAGGTACGTACCATTAACCTCGACTTAATGTCACCTCTGCACAAGCATGTAAATCATCTTTATTTTTATGAAAACTCATAGATATTTTTGTCCCATACAGTCGACCCTTCTACAAGTTATCTTGGGCGAGTTGCCTCCATCGCAGGGCACAATATCGTTGGGTGGCGCACGAGTTTCCTACGCCAGTCAGGAACCCTGGCTCTTCGTGGCTACAGTTCGTCAAAATATACTATTTGGACTCCCATACGATCGCATACGTTACAAAAAGGTGAGGCAATATGGCATTATCTACAATTCATGAGCGTTTTGGTTCAAAGGCTTACTATTACGCTTAAAGATACATGATTAATAAATCAAAGAATGACACACAATCTATCATTTTTATTAAACATGGCCTTGTAGGAAGACAAAACAGTAGTAACGCATGCAGTTTATATATAAACGCGATGTGTAGATAGTAAAATGATACAAATGATAAATACATAAGTGCTTTAGAACATACTTACCTACTTTCGCGTATATTTAGAAAACACTGATAACATTTTGGCCAAATTCGATAACTGCGGATTGAATTTAGATAATAAAGCCTCCATTGCTGGGATAGTGTTTAAATGTTTGACTCAGTAATTCATGATGAGCATTTTTAAAGGTCGTAAGTGCCTGCGCTTTGTTGCGGGACTTTGAGCAGTTGCCTGCAGGAGACTCGACACTGGTTGGAGAACGAGGCATCAGCCTTAGTGGAGGGCAGCGCGCGCGCATCGGTCTTGCGAGAGCATGTTATAGACAGGTAACTATGATGAATTCCATTATATAGACTGAACGTTGCTAATAGGTCATGTTATTATTATTAGATAATTAATAATTATCATTTATTATAGAAGAAATGTGATCACATCTGTATAAAACCGTAGATACGTGGTAAAATTACATATCTAAACAGAAAACATTCTGTAAACCCATTTCGATGGGAAAGTAAGTCAAAAAAGGTCGTATTAAAATTTCTCATAACTTTATCGTGGTAGCTGAACCTTGGTACAGTTAGATATTTGAGTCATTGTATTTCGATCGCTGACACTATTCGATTTCTGTATACAAAGGTAGACAACGACACTTGGCGGGTGAGTAATTGTCTGGCATGCTCACTTTTATTAATTTGATAGATGTTCATTCTATGTACCATGACTAAGTAGGTACATAGGGGTACACACATTAGGGGAATTAAAGTAAGGTCCTCAAGGTCATTTAGCGTCGATAAATGCTTTTGATCTGCACAGACACTAAAGTGATCGAAGTGATCGCATACAAATAAATTATTGATTGCTGATAATACTATTTACATAATAGTCTGTGATAAATGCCGAAAGATAAGCTCGGCCATCAAAGCGCACGGAAGGATGGTAAATGTAGATACAGGAAATCAATAAAATGTGCAAAGTAAACAATACGAGTAGCGAGTGAATAGCACCATTTCTTTCATGTGGGAAATTATAAAATGTTTTTTGAATTGAAGAATAATTTCATACTTTGTTCCCAAGTATAAAATTATCGAAATGGAAGCGAAATCGCTATTTAATTTACACAAAAGTTTTGGTTAAAATGAATTGATAGAAAATAATGGCCAATGCATAGTTAAGTATATATAAACAAATGTGAGTTGAATACACGGTCAGTTCAACTAAGCTTCATTTTTTTATTAATTTAGCTTGGTTACTCCCGAAGATCATTTTGAAAAAAGGTCTCTAATTTATTTATTATTTATGCCCAGGCTGACATATACCTGCTGGACGACCCTCTATCAGCAGTGGACACACACGTCGGTAAACACCTGGTATCAGAATGTGTGATGGGATTACTGAGACATTCTACGAGGATCCTGGTCACGCATCAACTGCACCATCTCAAGTCTGCTGATAAAGTCGTCATCTTACACAACGTAAGTATCATTCCTCTTGACTTCTAGAGCACCGATTTCTAAATCTACCTTATCTGGTACATTTTATCCTTCACGCTTTAGAGATAACTATCTAAAATATGTAGTAGAGTTTAGATGTGGAGCTATCTATACAAAAATCAATGTATAACCGTGATTGTGTAAATGTCTAGCTACGCACGTAGGTATAACATGTCCTATTCGTGCGTTATCGTTATCGCCATAAGTTTTTTAAACGACATTTCTAGTGAGGTGCAAATTTAAACTGTAATTCCTGTACCAGTGATGTTGTAATTTGTATATTTTTGTTTGATCGGCAGATTGACATGTTTAGTTATTCCTAATAAGTACTTCCTCCGCTAACGACCGATAACAAACGATCTTGCTCCAAAAACTCTGGATCGATTTAACTTTTTGACTGAGGTTTGAGGTCGTTTATTCATTTCGACTGTGAATGGAACTAGATTGATTGACATCCCTTTTTAGAGAGTAGTAGAACTGTCTCACTGTGTCATTGGCGGTTCTGTCTGGGTACTTAGGTGTTAACCCAAACATAGCTTGCTTGGCGCCGCACCGCCGCAGTGTAGCTACACTTGACATGTGCAGATGTCGTTTTTAGTTTGGTGGTAGGTAACTTCTAGGTACCTAATTATGTAGTTAGGTGGTAATTACTAGTTAGAAAGAATAGCAAGGATTCATTTCCTATTTACTTATACTACATAGGTAGTACATATTCTACGTTATCACACTGTGTACATAATACCATATCGCAATATATTTCCCTTATAAACAACATGTGCAAGAACAAGACAAAGTAAATTATTTTTATCATAATTATGTTTTCCTATGTAACTACTCAATGTAAGACTTTATAATTAACCACCACATACCGACCTATTTGAGGCAAGAAAATTATTTCTCATCATAGGTAGGTACTTGGGTATTTGCGTTTGCAAGGATGAAAAAGTAATTTTATTTACTCACATTGATACAAAAACATATCATTGTGGAATGCCACACACAATGCCTAAGTATAAAAAAGTAATCATTAAAAACTAACTTCCACGCAATGCGTGGTTAAGGAGTTTGGAATTGGAATCTCTACATTTTTAAAAATTTATTTAAAATAGCCATTTAGATAAAATTCCAAAATCAACAAACGTCAAAATGGTTATAAAATTATTGTCGCAATTATATTTATTATTATAGCATTTTATAGTTATGTACTTAGTTAAATTATATGTATTTAATATTCAACTGATACCCTTTATTGTTTAATGCAATTATTTGTTGAATATAATATTATCTTGACGTATTTATTTGAGAACTATTTCTATGCAAATATTTAATTTCTTAAGCGTAAAAGTAGGTGCATAAATTAAATAAGTAAAAACAAATGCCACGTTGTAAGTTGACATTGTCATAAATGAGTTGCGTAATCTATTTAAATTGCGATAAAAATAATATTACATAGGATTTATAATAGAGTTTTAAGTCTCTGTATATAACTACTAAAAATAAATTAGAAATGTTAAGTTAATATTAAGCAAGTTCATGTGTTGATAATTTAATGGGCACCAAAAATATATTGTTTGATTTTTAAATTTATCTGTTGCCCAATAAAATCAATTTTGAACACCAGCTGTATCAATGATCAACGTAAACAATGTGTATCCATCTATTGTGCGTAGTTGGTAAGTGGTTACTTACTTGTTAAAAAATGTCATTGCGCCATGCCCTATTTATTTAACGTGGCTGAGACAACAGTCATGCTTTTACAGTAACAATGCAAGTACAACACAAAGCGGTGATTTAATACATAACTACTTTGTCTATTGTTTACATTTTTCACTGAAGAAATAAGTATAGGTTCTAACTAAAATTCTAAAGAAGATTAATGAACGGTGTCTTTTTTGGAGAACAATGAAGTTTCTGTTTCGGCTTTAGAATTTTTGATTTGTTTGTACCTGCGTAGTCGCAGTACCTACAGCGTAGCCGATGGCATAGTCGTAGTACCTACGTCGTAGCCGACGGCATTGTCGTATTACCGGCGTAGCTGCCGGTATAGTCGTAGTACTAACAGCGAAGCCGATGGATTTATGTATACAGTCGTAGTAGCTACGGCGTAATCGTAGTATCTACGGCGTAGTTGTGTTACCTACAGCGTAGCCGACGCTGTAGTCGTAGTACCTACGGCGTAGCCGAACCGTTGCACTAGTAACAATGGCGTAGTCGTAGTAGCAATGGCGTAGTCGGCTGCATCGCTGTAGTACCTACGGCGTGGTCGACATTGTAGTCGTAGTACCTACGGCGTACTCTATACAAGTATAGGATAAAGTATATCTACCAATTTTGAATAAATATAAACCGTAAATCAAGCAAAATATTTACTACAGTATTTATTTAATTAAAATTTCAATTTATTGATCACTCTGTACTCAATAGCGTGAGCGCTTTGATTGAAACTGTGAGTAATTAATATGCTTCATCATGCTGATTCGCCGCGCCGCTACAAACATCATGTAATTCTATACAGCTACACCTCGAAATCTATATTCATGTCATCAGTCATTAGACGCCAGTGTTGACCGTTACAAAATGTCAATATGTGATAACGTAACATTGCAAGGTCAAAAGGAAGTAGGGTAGAATAAATTCTAATACATTAAACATTTTATACCTATACTTCGTTTTAAGTCTTTTTATAGTTATAATATTTTTTCAAGATAAAGACACGGCTATATTTTAAAGTTATGAAAAGATCTCGTATTTTTGACATCAAAAGATATTTTACACGACACTAATTCCCTACTAATTAGACGTTTTGTCTCAGGGCGAAATAGAGACTACTGGATCATTTGATGATGTGTCGCGATCACCACTGTTTGCGGAGTTGCTCCAGGAAGAAGAACAGCCAGAAGACCCAAAAGTCCAGTATCTTCGACAGAGAACTCTTTCCATACAGGTATATATACATGATTATACTTACACTCTTAAATATACTATTCACGTAACTAACTATTCGATTACGTTGCGCATGTAAGCACTAGTTATTATGAGCCCCCGTTGTGGCTAGAGACTAGCCGAAAATCCACCACGAACAGTCAGCCTTAGGTTCTAATTAATTCAGTACCAATGTCTCATGATTCCTACTTATTATAAAAACATTAGCTTCTGTTCTGCCAGCGGGTTCGCCCGCAGTCCTGGTGGATAAAAAGTAGCCTATGGATAACCATATATGGTCTGGAATAATCCAGACCATAATCTGTCCGTGTTTCCAAAATTCATCTCGATCCCTTCAACTGTTGTGACCTGATTGAGGTTACTTAATGTTTGTTTGTATGTGCCAACTATAGCATTTATAAGATGTATCTATTTATTTATCATTTACTTCTTACCAATTATACAGTTGGTATCGTAAATTTTACAGATAGCCAAAAAAATTACAATTTTATTTAATTTAACGTTTGCACTCATTTTTGGAATAGTCTCAAGGTGTTTAAGAAATACCTAATCATCAACAATTTATTACAAGTTTTCCTTCTTATCATTTGACTTTGACATTTTGGAATATATTAACCTGATTCCGTTATTGCTTGTCCTACAATTTAACTATGCACGTCGGTATCTATAGCTGTTATTAGACTCGCAGAAATATTTGCAAATAAATTTATGAATGATTATGTAGGTGTCATTTATTACTATAATAATATTATCTAATTAAGTGTAATCTAAATAATCATTTATAAGTACCTAATTGAGTATCTTGAACAAATGCCTATTGTTAAACTTAGATTTTGTATCATATATCAATGTATCAAAGTTTATTGTTTATTATGTAGATAGTTATTACTGTATCGCTACTTAATAGCTATTCGTCAATGATAATCATTTTGGGAAAATAATTTCTTGTTGCAGTCTCACACGAGTACCAACACCTTACAAGATGGGGCTGTGGCTGATGAGGTTGAGCAGGAGGAATCTGCCGAGTTGATGGGAACAGGTAACTCATCTGTTTCATTAATTCTAGATATACATAAATGTCTGAACTGTAGGAATTATCTACTCATGGACTTACGTATACGGCCACGCGGTCCACCATAGTCTTATAATGACCAACGTGGGTACCGAGGTATCTCGTTTATACCACATTTATGACTCAACTAAACCTATTTTTGTGATTAGCGACAATCTATTGTTTCTTCCTGACTCTTTGTTTTTTAATAATTATGTATTAATTACCTTTTTACATACATAATACTATATTATAATACGTACATAATATGTGCCTGGCTACTCTACCGTTTAACCAAGTAGGGTTAAGTAGTAAGTACACACACTCAAATCAATAAAATTGGGATTTCCCAAGTGACACTTATCAAATCATAAATAAGCTTTATCTATCTATAATCACAGAATCTATAGTGATAAAGTGATTTCTACGCAATACAGACGATGAGTTTGCTCAAACAAGACAAATATCTAAACAATTGATGTCTATTATCAATTTTACCTTATCCAGTGATAACCGGACGACACAAAGACAGCTGTATCTAATCGATATCTAACAAAAAATTGCTAACATTTTTTTGCTGATGTCATTTATAAACCGCATCGTCATTGATGCGTGTTGTTCTCAATAATTATCTCGTTAATTAAGATTTTTTTACACTTTTATTACATAAGTACTACCTAGTTGCATTATCTACATAAAAATTACAAATTACTTACAAGTCTTACAACCCAAATACATCGAGGTCTTGGTAATCAATGACTATTATTATGCGACAGCGACGCGGAGCAAAGCGCCATCTAATGATGTAATAAGGATCAAAAAGAACGCTAAAGTCATAAGAACAAGACTCAAAATTTAATCAGGATCCTACGTAGCATACTTAATAGAGGATGAGCCGATTGTAAAAAAAAACAAGTAGGTTTATAACGTTTGTAAAATAGTATTAACAATTTGCTAATGCCACTGAGTTACCAGACCTACCTCACCTACCTGCACTGCCAAATTCAGGTAGAAATAATAGATGGAATAGGTGTATCCGTACTGGTGTACGGATACACCTATTCCTATGGGTGGTCCCATGGTTGAAGGATGGAAGTAATTATTTCGCCATTACGAACGTAGCTGCGTTGACTACGTTTTACTAATTCACATTCGAATAAAGGGTGTGGGTTTAAATTCACGCTCGGTACTACGCCAATGACGTCATTGAACGATATGATTACTACATCAAAACATTTGGTGTGTTCACATGTGGCATCTGATATCCGTTTACCCTTTGACTCTTCAATTCAAATGTAGCATGATGCGACACATTCTAATAATTTGTCTTAATTAGACCATTTGAGTTTATGGTACCCAAATACCTATGGTGGTCTTCTAAAATAACAAATCAAACTACGTTTTTACGAGCTTTCACCCTACATACTAGGTATGTCAATATCAAACCAGTGATAGACACGAACATTCCCGGAGTAAATTGTTCATAAAGTATTATTAATTAAAAATGTTTTCCATAGGTCGTGTGCCAGGCGCGGTCTACCGTCAATACTTCCGCGCCGGCGCCGGCTGGGGCCTGATCCTATGGACAACGTTCAGTATTCTCTTGGCACAAGTCGTAACCTCCATCAGCGACCTTTGGCTGACACAATGGTAAATAAATCACTTCATTCTACTACGTACAAATACGTATTTCACACAAAATGGTGTAGCATGCAGGCGATCCAAACCGGATAACGAAATAAAAACAATTCACAAAGGAAGTGACACATTTGCAAGAAATTACATAAAATAATCTATCAATATCTTTTACAGGATGAATGTCGTAGAACTAAGACATGGACTGCTAAACAACCAAACAACTACTCCTCTCTTCCACAACATCACAAATGGCAATATTTCAATTGGCAGCAATGACACCATTAGCAATTTGACTACAGAGCTGCCGACCACGATACCCTCATCCACAGAACTACCCAACATGACTGTTATTGATACAATGGTGAAGACTGTCCTAACTATGCAGAACATTACGTCTGTCTACGAACCGATTAACCACGATTACTATATTTATATTTGGGCGATTGCTATCTTGGGTTGCATCATACTTACAACTGGAAGGTAAATAGGGTTTTTGTTCTATACAGTTTGCATCGACGTAAATAAATAAAACATTAAATCTACAATTTCTTCCTCGAAGATGAACTTAACTTATCGAATATTGATTTCAGATCGATTTTATTCCTGTGGGTATGCATGCGCAGTTCCATCAAGTTGCACAACCAGATGTTCAGCAATATTCTGGCGGCGACCATGCGCTTCTTTGACACCAACCCTTCTGGACGTATTCTTAACAGATTCTCCAAAGACATGGGAGTGGTTGATGAGATCCTACCCAGGATGTATTTGGACAGTATACAAGTAAGCTATATCTGACGATTCATCCCAAGATTAGGCGAAAATACATGATTTTGGACTTAAAGTACCTAATTGCGGCATTCTGATTTACAGATATTCATGGTTATGATGGGTATTCTAGTGATGGTAGCGATAGTCAACCCCTACATGTTGCTGACAACGGGAGTTTGTGGTATCCTTATGTACATTTGGACCGTGATTTTCCTTAGCACTGCACAGGCTATTAAAAGGTTAGTAATTATTGTGCCCTTTACTTTTTATTTGTTTTAAAAATATTTCGATTTTTATCTTTCGTTACCCCTATCTAATTCATTACAGTATTAACATGATATTCTGTCCTTAGGGTGGAAGGTACGACTCGCAGTCCAGTATTCTCGCACGTTTCGGCAACGATGGCAGGACTAAACACAGTGCGTGCTTGTCAAGCGCAGGACATGTTGCGAGATCAATTTGACGACAAGCAAGACGTGCACACAGCTGCCTGGTAAGTTCCACCAGTGGTTCACACGTTATTCATAGTAATCATAGGGAGATCTAGAATAGAATCTATCTTCTAGATATTTATGCTTCTCTTTTTTCCAGGTACTTAACAATTGTCACAAACACTGCATTCTCTATTTGGTTAAGTCTTATCTGTGCGACTTATGTAGTGGTCGTAGCCTACACGTTCTTGTTCCTGGATGACGGTTAGTAGTATCCTTAATAATAACAGATTAGTCAAGTAATTTTTATGTTTGAACTCTTGTGACTATATTTTATGTAAACAGGGAATACAAAGTCGGGAAACGTCGGTTTGGCGATTAGTCAGGGTTTGATCCTGGTGAATATGGTGCAGTATGGCGTGAAGCAAGCGACGGAGGTGATCTCACAGATGACGAGCGTGGAGCGTGTAGTGCAGTTCACATCACTACCACGTGAGGTTACGGAAGGCCCTGCCCCACCCACCGGCTGGCCTCAGCGCGCTAGGCTGGTCTTCAAGGACCTCTCATTACGATACGACAAAGATGCTGATCCAGTGCTCAAAAAACTTAACATTGTTATAGAAAGTGGATGGAAAGTAAGTTATCTGGTTGTTATGTATTGCAGATATCAAGATGTCACGAGAAAATAAGAATTTAACCATTGAATAATGTATATTTTAGGTGGGAGTAGTCGGTCGTACGGGAGCCGGCAAATCTTCACTGATATCAGCTCTGTTCCGCTTAGCGCCTATTGAAGGAAATGTTTTCATTGATGATGTTGATACTGGTGACATCGCTCTGAAGGTAAATCTTGATCCGTAATTGGTTATTCCGGGTATAATATACCCTGAGTTCCGTTTCTCCGATTTAACGTATTCATTCTATTCACAGGAGCTAAGATCAAAGATCTCAATTATTCCGCAAGAACCAGTGCTATTCTCCGCTAGTTTGCGCTACAATATGGATCCATTTGACAAATATAGTGACGCTGACATTTGGACAGCATTAGAACAGGTATATTCACGCTCTATTAAACTTCAATATATAAACAAAAGTCGAGTAACAGTCAAGTTTATTAGATACAGATAAGGGCGAATGATATATTATGTTTGTAATGTTTTTAGGTGGAATTAAAGCGAAGTGTAACGTCTTTGACATCAGCGGTTCAGTCAGGCGGTTCTAACTTCAGCGCTGGTCAGAGACAGCTGCTCTGCTTGGCGCGTGCAGCTCTAGGTCGTAACAAGCTACTCGTGCTCGACGAAGCCACAGCCAATGTTGATCCGAAGTAAGAAACCCGCTTGAAGTATTTTGAACTTACACCATTTAATACATAACATAACATCACGCCTTTTTATCCCCGAAGGGGCAGGCAGAGTTGCACATTTCGGCACTTAATGCCACTGTACAAATGTAACACCCACTTTTCACTATGAGTCCCGTGTAATAGGGGGTGAGCCTATTGCCATATACCGGCCACATTTCCAGACTCCGTGCTACTACTGAGATTTTTAAAAAGCCAGTAATACTTTGCCCGACCCGGGAATTGAACCATTTAATACAGTTGTATTCTTATCTCATTAGATAATAACATCATTATGTTATGTCTATTCGCAGTACGGATGCACTTATTCAAAAATCAATTCGCACACATTTTGCGGATTGCACTGTAATCACGGTGGCACATCGCCTGCACACTGTCGCTGATTCCGACAGAGTAGTTGTGAGTATCCTTAACTTTGTTGTTTGTGTATCATTAGTCTATTGTCTAACTTCTATGGGAACAGTACCTAGTTAAGTATTATTATTTATTTTTTTCTTGGACACGCTGAGATAAGCAACGATAAGATAATCTTATCTTATCGTTGTTAAGAAGTTCAACGACTTAAATTACAAAAACTATTAGTGGTAGATTAAACTTTTACATAACGTATTTGAATTACTGTTAAGATAACGTTTTAAACATGCAACCTCCCTCAGACTCCATTACTTTATAATACTCACTTGAGATTAGCGCAGAAAAAATCAAAGATATCTTTGATTGAACTTTAAATAATATGACTCCTGTGTTAATTTCAGGTGATGGAAGCTGGTGAGATTGTGGAATGCGGTCATCCACACGAACTGCTACAAAAGCCCGAGGGCCACTTCACTCGCATGGTGCAGCAGTTGGGTCCTGCTGCGGAACAGAGTCTGCGCGACCTGGCGGCGGCCGCGCATGCCGTGCACATCAAATACGTCGACGCAGACGATAACAACCAATAACAGTACTTAATGGTGTCTTACTTAATTTTTACCCCACTGTGACTCCCAAAGAGAAAGTTGTTTTAGTCTTTAAGTCACGCGCCAAATAACTATGCCGTTTCAAAGTGGGTCGCAAAGGCGTTGGGCTCATGTAAGAGATTTGTGTACCTACTGTGGTTTGAGAATGGCAGCGTTATTTAAGTAAAGTTGGCCTATTTATTCGACTAACAAAATTACATATACATACCTTAATAGCGAATATATAAATTACGTCTTACAGTAACTTTGCTATGATCGTTTACTTAGGGCTTGGCCAGTAGTTTGTATATTTACAAACCGTTCCTTCATTTGTGCCTTTGATAATTATTTACATAAATCAGATGATTAAATATTTAAAATATCTCTATATTTTATACGTCATACTGTCGTATCTAATGTTAATTGTTGTTATACGAAATTTTTGCTTTTAAAATGAAAATTGTCTCTTAGAGAAATAAGAAAATTTTAAAGCTGAGAATTTCTTTTCATTTAAATTTATCACAAATAGTTGTACTTATTGTTACTTGTAAATTAATATAATATACTTATGACCTCAGTGATAGAGCTGTGACTGCTAATGACAAAGGTGTTTATTAAAAAAGGTTTAACAATTTTGACTATGTACTTAGTTTTGATATAAATTATAACTACTACTACATCACTATATCCATATACAAGTACTTAATGTTGAGATATTGTCACAAAAATGTGTCTAAGCTAGAATAAGTCAAGAATTTGCTAAAAATGTATACCTATTATTATTATATGCATATATTTATTTAAAATTCTGTATAAATTACATTTTTTTAACCTTTTGAACGCCAGAGCAAAAACGCATGAACTTGCCCTCAACGCCAGCCCACAAATTCACCGCAAATACCTACGAAAAAAATAGGGATTCCAAAACTTCATCGATAATCAATTTTATTTTCATTTTCGTCTTTAATTTCGAAATATAATGTCCTTATAACATTGAAATTTAATTCAACATTACATTTCTTCCTATTAAAGTAATAGTTATACACTATTTACAGACTTGTATAATACCGTAATAACAGATATGAGACTACAATCAGGGACTGAATAACCGAAAAATTACGATACCTTTAAATTGCGGTATGACGTCATACCTTTAAATAAAGGTTACCGCTTAATTTCGGTATCGAAATTTAATTTCGGTACCGTTATTTTTGGGTATGAAATGAAAACCGGTATATTTCGGTACCGGTACCCTAACCTGAATAATAAAGATATGAGAGAGATATTGACCGCGCTAGTTTATCTATCCTATTTCATCGCATTGCATTCGTTTGGCGTGTTTTCTGGACACAATCACATGCGTCTCACGTTATATTTTATGGTGTGCTGAGTTGAATTGGGATAACAATGTCAAATAACGCACGAAAATTTATAATAATAGAAACAAGTAAGTATATGTACTTATGTAATCTTATAATAACATATTTCTAATTGACACGTAACGAGTACTAAGTACTGGTATCTTACCTACTCGTTGTCGACGCGTACGGCACGCGGCGACGATGTAACGCCAGTAGACACGCTCACACACAGACGCTGCGTGCGTATTATTTTACCATACACTATATTATTACACTTTTTATGTTATTAGCTCATTACTATAGTTTATTATAACGTAGTGTGTTATAATATTTTTTTACCTTATAGGTATATATGTTCACGACATTTTTGTCAAAAATTGGTTAAATGCCTAAAGTTTTTTATTTCTACCGCGGTGGGCGCGGATTTCCAGAATTCTTGTTTTGATTGAAAAGGTATACTCCCGAGATGGTCCTTTTCATTGAGGTCAGGATCTGATAATGGAAGCCTAGGAAAAAACCGAGGAGAACTTATGAAAATTGTAGGGGCAAGTAATATGTCTATTGTTATTCAATTAGGATTTTTAAATATGTACTACAATTTGAAAAGGGTCTGGAGCCGACAGACAGTCAAAGGAACTCCTCAACGGTTTATATTAACTACCTTGTGTTTGGGTTTGATTGATTTGTATTGATGAGAACTTTACACCTAGATGGAGTAGGACTATCATTAAGGGTCTGATGATGAAGAACTGTAATTGTTAAGAGAACTCGTCAACGGTTTATAGTAACTACCTAGTGTTTGGGCTTGTATAATTTGTATTGATTAGAACTTTGCGCCTATGTGAATTATAAGTGGCAAAATGATAAAAAAAACTGCGTTTAAAAAACCGACATCATAAATTAAAAAAAAATTAATAGCAAACAAAAAGTAAAAACTAAAAAGCAAAAAATAACTATTTCATAAAAAATAACTATCAGTACTGATAGGTAACGCACCCACTGACATAAATTGTTTTATTGAATGCGAATTTAAACATTGGGCTTCTCTCTGAGTGACGGAAGTCAATGAATTAATTATGTTTCTAAAAGCTAAGTCGTCCATCATGGAGAATGGTCTACCATGTACAGTCACCAAATTGATACATTGGGTTTTTAAATAATTAAGTCTATTGCTATAAGGAGCAGGGTCACCAGATGTGCTTGTACTAGCCCCTTCGTCGGTATTAACATTTTCTTTATTTGTGACTAGCGGCCCGTCCCGGCTTCGCACGGGGAGACTTAAGATTTTTTACATAGTTTTACGTTTTATTTATATTTATTCTCAGTTTTTTTTAGCGACCTGCCCTCCGTTGTCGATGTCGCGTCTTAAGGTAACCGATTGAACAATTCAAAAGTTATCTAGAGCAAACTTTTATAAGGATTGAACCATTCATTAAAACGATTGTTATGGGTAAACTATAAAAGGTAGACATATGCTCTCGCGGACTTTTTTAAAAATAATGTTAAGATAAACAATTCATCTATAGAACATTTTTGTATAACTTTAACTATATGCTCAGCGCACGCCACGGAAGGCCTCAGAAACGATATTTTTCCCCCGTTTTTAAAACATTTTTGGTTACTGCTCCACAACTATAGGACCTAGCGTGATATTATATAGCCTATGTTACTTCTGATTAATGCAGCTTTCGAATGGTGAAAAAATTATTGCAATCGGTTCAGTAGTTTTTGAGTTTATTCATTACAAACATACAAAAATACAAATCTTTCCTCTTTATAATATTAGTATAGATTAGTATAGATATAGATATCAGTCATCAAACGGTTCCTCTCAGTTACTATATTGTGTTCAGTGGGATGTTTGGATGACAAATGATACATAAGATTTGTTCCATGGTTACCCTAAAACTAAATAATAACATGTTACTATAATTATGTATATGTATTAAGTAAGAAAGTTTTGTTACTGAATCATTGGCATCATCAATTCAGCATTGGTAAAACAATCTAAATTGAATACCTAATTAAGTAAGTATATGTATTATATAACTGTTTAGGGACGTTATGGGTTATAGTTATTTTATTGTAATGGTGTTATAGTCTAGCCGTGGACCTACCGTTGCGCACGCTGTGCAAGTGTGCAACCTATTAAGTATTAGTCATACGGACTTTTAAGTTAATAAAAAATCAACCTAATTAAAAAATAAACTTTACTCAGTAAACTCCTTGGCGGCCTGTCTGCTTCTCTTCTGATGACCCGTCAGCTTGTGCGGAAGCCGTAACGGGGGTGCTGCGCCAGGGCATGGAATACTACATTCCATTCTCGGACGTGGCATCCTCTGGTGGGACCCGTCCTTGGTTCGATGCCGACTGCGGACGTGCCGAAGCGCTAAAGCAGGCGGCATACTTGGCATGGGCGGATGCCAGGCGCCGTAGGGCTGATGACATTCATCAAAAGAAGAGAGCCTTTAATCGGGCTGCCAAGTCATGCAAAAAGGCATTACGGATGGCTCGATTTAACCACATTAGCCGTATAGGAAACAAACTAGCTTCCTACCCAGCGAGAAGTAAAGCTTTTTGGTCCCTGGCCAAGGCGGTTGAATCGAATTTCTGTCGCTCCTCACTTCCTCCGCTCCTGAGGTCTGACGGGACGCTGGCTCACACTGCGGTAGAGAAAGCAAATCTATTTGCTTCTCTATTTGCGGAGTCTTCGCGTCTTGACACTGGTGGCGCCTTGCCTCCTTCTATTAATAGCGTATGCAAGACGAATATGTCGCAAATTCGCATTCGACAGAGGGAGGTATATAGGACGCTACGCGATCTGGACGTGAACAAGGCCAGTGGTCCCGACGGAATCCCAGCCCTGGTTTTAAAAACCTGTGCGCCTGAGTTGTCTCCAATCTTGACACGTCTGTTTCGCCTTTCCTTAGAGACGGGTCTAGTACCGGTTGCATGGAAGCTGGCCAACGTACAACCTGTGCCTAAAAAAGGTAGTCGTGCCGACCCTAACAATTACCGCCCTATTTCGGTCACGTCCATACTCTGCAAGAGCATGGAACGTGTACTTAACAATAGGCTCCTGGCATACCTTGAAGGTAACGATCTCCTCAGCGATCGGCAATACGGGTTTCGACGTAACCGATCGACTGGGGACCTTCTTGCGTATGCTACTCACATATAGAGCGAGGCCATAGAGGGGCACGGAGAGGCACTAGCAGTCTCCCTCGATATTTCGAAGGCCTTTGACAGGGTATGGCACGACAGTCTAATCGGCAAGCTTCCTGCATATGGACTTCCTACTGGTCTGTGCAGATGGATAGCAGACTTTCTGAGGGATCGGTCAATACGAGTAGTCATCGATGGCTGCTCGTCTGACCAATTCGGTATTAATGCCGGCGTCCCTCAGGGGTCAGTACTTTCAGCGACGCTCTTTTTGCTGCACATAAACGACCTGCTTAGGCCCGGTATCTTTGGGTATGCAGATGACAGCACAGTTGTTGAAAGGTATGTGTCCGGTGCGCGGACTAGCGGAACACAGATCCAGTCTTTAAGAGAATCCATGGTCGAACGTTTGAACTTGACCTTGAAGGCGGTGTCCGACTGGGGTGACGCCAACTTGGTTAGGTTCAATGCTAGCAAGACCCAGGCGTGTCTATTCTCCGCCAAACGGAGTCAATTTCTGCTGACTCCTACTTTCCGGAATGTACCCGTACCGATAACCGATCGTCTTGAGCTTCTTGGTGTAACTCTGACGCCCACACTCAACTTTGGCTCCTATATAGAGTCAAAAGCGCAACTGGCTGGTAGGAAGTTGGGTGTCCTATGGAGGGTGAGACGGTACTTCACGCCGAGACAATTGCTGAGCCTGTACCAAGCACAGGTTCGGTCCTGTATGGAGTATTGCTCTCATCTTTGGGACGGCTCGGCAAAATATCAGCTGGACGCGTTAGAGCACATTGAGAGGCGTGCCAGGAGGCTCATCGACGATGATGCGCTTGTGAAGGCTCGGCTTCAAAGCCTCGAACACAGGCGTAAGGTTGCAAGCCTTTCGGTTTTCTACCGGATACATTTCGGGGAGTGTGCGGGGGAATTGCACAACTTGATTCCCCCTAGTCCTTTCCATCATCGTACCACAAGACAATCCGCGAAGCGTCACCGATTCATGGTAGATGTTCCGCCCACACGCACGAAGCGCTTCGCTTCAAGCTTCCTTGTGCGTACTGCTAAAGAGTGGAATTCTTTGCCAGAGTCTGTATTTCCTGAAGGGTATAACCTGGGAGTCTTCAAGGCCCGAGTGAATAGGTTGCTTATGGGACGACGTGCTCCAACGTAGACCGCATCATCGCTTACCATCAGGTGAGATAGTGGTCAAACGTCGACCCATCAATTATAAAAAAAAAAAAAACATCAAATCAATTTCAATAATTAACGAATCAACTAAAATAAAAATATGTACGTCGAGCGAGCGAGGCGAGTCGTCCCGAGTAGGTAATTACCTACTTTGTCAGCGCGGACGCCGGGGCTCCGGTAGCGGCCGGTCTGTGTGTAGGTATAGGTAAGGGTGTGTGTTTACAAACCATGCGGAGGCTTAAGGCCGTATATATATACGAATGTGGAAAAGATTTTGTGTGGTAGGTACCTATGGTATGAATGTGGGATTGTAATTTCTATATAAATATATTGTAATATTACAGCTATATCTGTGGTCTGTGACATGCTTCACCTTTTTTATAATATGCGATAATAATTATTTTAAATGTGCAGTTATGATGAAGTCGGTAAAATAATCTCGTACCTAATCGATCACGATTACGATCTGGAATACTAACTAATAATAATTGTAGTTAAAATTACAAGGTACCTAATCCTATTCATCTTATGAACATATAAATATACCTAGTAAGTAATCAAAGTTTAGGTAAGTACCTAACCTAACGAACGATACCCAATGACTGGTTTTTCGTAGGTATATATAGCCCCATAGTTAATAGTTACACGACTATTATATATAGTTATTAGATAGATACGGTACACACAAATCTTACAACAGTAGCGTAGTTGCAGCAGTGACACGAATAAACAGGTTTACAGGCGCGCGTTTTTCGCTTGCCGCTGCTCCGCTCCGAGGCGTGGGGCCCCTCGCACCACACCCCGCACACCCCTAGCTTTACGTCCCGCAACGGTCAAATCTAAGTTTTTCGGTACCGTTATCGCATAAAGGTTAAATACCGGTATAGCTTTAATTTCGGTACACTTATTTTATACCGGTACCGTACCGTTATACCTTAACCGCTTTCAGTCCCTGACTACAATATATTTAAATATAATAACTGTAGGTACAACACTATTCTTGATCTGCTGTCTTCATATTGTGACCATGGCGTGGACGGCCCGCCATTTTAATAACTACTTCGCTTCCGAAATAAGGATGTGGCAACGTAATATCTCGTTTATCGATGTTCTAGTACAATATTATTTTATAATAAATGAAACACGTTTTTTAAATCAGATTTATAATTCCGAATGTAACAGGTACTTAAAAATATATGATTGAAATAGGTTAAGAAGGTAAATAAAAACTATGAAAAAATAGAAAATTTTAATAAAATGTTATACAGTATGTACTATGTATACATGTTTTTAAATATTAAGTTCTATAAACCTGGCATAAAAAGTAACAAATTAAAACAATTAACGATTATATATAATTATTCACAATTACCAATCAGTCTTATACTAATAAATCTTTTGAATAATAGAACAAAATTATACAAAATCTACAATGCAACCTGCATTCTGATCATCTAATTCGCTGGGTGCAAAGTGGGTGGTGGGGACAGTGAAATCGATCTCAGCGCGCACCGTGGCTAAAAAAGGAACTTTTGGCAGACTTTATTCCACGAAGTTATAGGTAAATATGGAGCCCACACTTAGAATAAAAGTTTCGAGTCAAATATTAATATATTCTTCGTCATCTGAGACTCCTTCTAATGTGCGAAGAAGTTCTTCCGTAGTCATTAAATTCCCACTCATTATAATAGTCACTTAATATAAATCTTGAACTCGATATCACAAGTAAATTAATCATAAATATTATTCATTCACTTCACTAATTTCTGGTCGCCGCGCTTGTGACGTCACGATATTGTCGTCTAGTCGTGACCATGGCGTACAGGGTACTGATAATTCGGGTTGCGTTAGGGATGCGCTTGAGTTGGGATTAGTGAATATCGAAATTCGACCCAACCAAATTTTATTTTTGACTATGTAGCTTATTGAATGATTTTTAAGACTGGTTTTATAAAATTAATGCTGCTTTATCCTAGTACCAAATTATACCTAAAATAATATATTCCAGAGGAAAGTTTCGAATCGATCCTTGATTTGAAATAATGATATTATCCAACATGCGCTACATCACTAGCGGTCACGCAGTTATGACTCTGGCGTGTGAGGACATTCTTTTTTCAGAGTTTATTTCTTTCTTTTTAACGTAAAATTTCTCAATATTTATAATGCAATTTAATTAGTTTTATGGAAATAAATAAATTTTGGACCTTCTATTTTACAGGTATATAAATAAATAGGCATTAAAGTAATGTTTAAATAGTTTATTTCGTGTTTTAATGTACCGCTGTTTTTGTCACATATTTGTGTCGTTGGCGCTCAGGGACAGTTTTCGCTTGTCACGTATTTGTGACCCTGGCGCTCAAAAGGTTAATACTACTTACAAAATAAAAAATAATATTTAAAAATATAAAAAATAGGAGCCGACCAGTAGCGGGAGCTTGGTCCAATTATTTATTATTATTATGATTCATAACTCGAATTCACAAAAACTAATACAACATTCCAACCATTAGGGTATTTCACCCGTCATGTGCCGGAATGCATATTCAAGCGAGAAAATGTATTTTATATTGTGACTTTATTACTGGCCACCAAGCTGTTAAACAATGATGTTATACAGTGTAATCATAAGTAGCTTCAAATGATATAGAACATAATATTTATAAGTTATCATTAAGCAGTACTTATAACTTTATTGTTAAATGTGTACCTCATACGAGTGACTGTTGAATTTGCCTTGATTGAAAAGTGATAAAGCGCCTTAATTGAGATTACTGTTTATACAAAGTAAACTTATTATAATAATGTACAAATATAAAGGAGACAGCTGAAAATGATTCTGTACATAAATATAATGTAAAGAGGATACTCAGTGGTACTGATATCCAACTAACTAAATCTACATATATAGCTAGAGTTTCTTTTTTTGTTTAAATGCCTTAATCTCCAGACTTGAAAAATTAAAAAAAAAATATTCAGAATTTAATCATTTTTAATGGGTTCAATATCGAAGTAGGTTATAGGCTGTGTTTTTATAATAACTGTCGTAAGACACACCAAATTTACTAAAAGTTGTGGGGTACTCACTTGAAATAACTGAGAAACGCTCAACTAGTTTCGAACCACAGAGGGGTTCTTCGTGATGAGCAGCATGCGTGGTCGGGGCTGATTAGGCTGCACGACCCCGTTAGTTATTCGGGTGAGTAAACCGCGATTTTTAATTAATTTAGACTATGGGCTTTAAAACACCATGCTACAATCAATTGGAGCCCAGCAGGGCGGGTGACACTGCAGGGGAGTAGCTAGTATTATATAATAAAAAAAAAAACATTTATATATACCTACTGTACTTACTGTTTGCCTCATGTGTGTGTGTATTTGACTTAAACTGTGTTAATAAAGATGTATTGATTAAGTTTCTGAATGTGTTTCATTATTTGTACACCCAATCTACATTAATGATATAGGTAATAAAAATTACTTACCAAAGAAATTTCTAATTTAGTTTTTCTTGAAAAATGTTCAATGGATAAGAACTGTTTTATGTCTCAAAAAGCTTCATTATAATGAATTTATGATAAACAAAACAAAGTAATATTTCATGTAAATTAGTTTTATTTCAAATAAGTTGCACTTTTCCATTTTTAACAAGGTCCGCTATGGGTTTGTACTGCAGAATATGTTGTGATCCCTCTGAAACAAATAAAACATTCAAAAGGTTGATTACAAATAAGTAAAAGTTTCAACTAATTTTTTTCCTGTTATTAGGCACACTGATAATTAAATGAACAAAGACTACAAACCTTCTAAATCTATCTCCTCATCCTCGCCGGCCAGGTCTTCCAGCACAACACCATTTATAGTCTCATTAGCTTTCAAAAACACATGACTTTGCATGTTCGGATGTACAGCCATTTTATTAGTTTCAAACATTTGCATATTACCAGGCATTTTATCTAGAACCACAGTCTTCATATGATTTTCCATATTTAATAGATATTCTTGAGCATACTTGTATTCCATTGGGGTTAGAAAGTTGGTCCCAGATTCAACTCTTTGTCTTTCTTCATTTAATATTGGTATACAGTACTTTTCTATTTTACTTAATCTAGTCTTAAGGTAATTGCATATTATAAACTTTATCCTGCTTAATTCCATTTTGTGGATTGTGGCGCGAAGATCTGTTTTGGGAAGTTTGTTTATGTTGCGCTCCATGTGTTGTATTTGTCCCAGCATACATTCTACCATATCATTACGATGTGGTAGTATTTCTGGAGCCAACCTCTCGTTTTGCCAAGCACTTTGAAGAGTTTTTAGCACTACATCAGCCGTAATTTCTTCTTCTTCATCTTCACTTAATGCAATGTTGTCCTCGGTTAAATCCATGCCTGTTTTTATGTAACTACAATATTAACAGTAACTAAAGTAACACCAACTTGTAGTACAATCAAAACTTATCTTAATTCAATGGAAAATACGCTCATGTGAACTTATTTTAATGTAAAAATTAACAAAACAAGCGTCTCGTTTTCGTTATCATTTGATTAACAAAACATGACAGTTGACAGCAGACAATTTGACATTCAAAATCAATTTTGTCTACCATGGACAAAAAAGATTAGGCTCTCGGAACAATAACTAGACATGGAAGCCAGGCTAAAATAGCAATTTACAAACATATATCTGATGCTCTCACTCTTTACACGATTTTGCGTAGGCGAGAATGAGACCGCAAACTGAACATAGTTCTGATAATTTGCAGGTTGTCACAACTTTCAGTGGACTCATTACAATCTTATGTCATTGGACTCATTCAGCATACTACCAAATTCAAAATCACGTTTTGACGTTCAATATTTCACAGTTTCACTCAAGTTTGACACCTTCCTCACTTTGCCGGATTATAGTACTGAAGTGTCACCGTGGTTGTATTTACGGCTCCTGATAATAAAAAATATTTTCTAAGGAATTAGCGCAAAAGAAAGGAAGAAAGAAAGTGTATGGTCGTTCTTTATTATGTTTTTACTTAATAAAAATACGTCTTGTGTGATTGACGGCTGCAATTCACATTTAGGAAGAAAAAAAACAGTGTGAAAAAATTCACTTTCATTCGTAACTTTTTGATATGTTTTAAAATAAATTATACTGGAAATAACGGTAAACTATAAATAAATGTTACTTATTATTGTCGTACTTTTCAATTGTAAGCCTAAACAGTATTATTCCATCTTTACCTAAAAAACTAAAATTTTCTAAGTTAATTTTTAACTAGTGATGTGGTCATGTTACATATCGATTATTTTAGGCTTTGAAGTTCTTATAGTACATAATACTACTTTTGATGATTTGACAGAACACGACTACATTTTGTACCCATCATCATTACGGAATATTTTAAGAATGTCATAGAATACAAAACGGCTTTATCGGAACGAAATTAAAAAATCTTTACAATGCGAAAAATGCATAGAAATACGGAGAGTATTCCAAAGATCTTTGATATCTTTAAATATAGAGGAGGCCTATTTAAACCAACATATGGCTTAACCAAGATCTGTCAACTGTCCGAAAAAATTATAAGAGAATATCAAGTGCATATTGATTCAAAATCTCTCGGTAAACCAAAATAATTATTAGATTGATTAATAAAAGTTTCAGCACATGTGTTGCCGTCAAAAATTTTCGTGAAAAAAAAGATTATTCATTAGACACATCTTTCTATGATGATCACAGAAATCTTATAAAGTCCATAGCACAAAAAAAATATTTTAACTTAAAGGATACATTATATAACTAAAAATTTTGACTGTACCTACCGAAAAAATTCGGCACATAAAAAAGACAATTATATTTAAAAGTCAATGGTAAACACATAATAGTACACCACTACCACGGTTTGTAAATATGCTTTGTTTGTGAGCAATTAAAATCTTTTTAATATTGTGTTTTATTCTGAACCCACGACATCCAGATTAAGAACCTAATGTACGTTAAATCACAGCAGCAATACTTTCAGGTACCATAATTTGTCGATAAAATATATTAATTTATTCCCATCACTAGCATATTTACAAGTAGTGACAACCCGCATAATAACGAAACGAAACAATACACATGTCTCTTTCTTATACACTATCAATACCATAAGTAAAAAAAAGATGAATATATGGATTGTAGTTGTTATTTTAGCCTGGCTTCCATGCTTTAGTTATTGTTCCGAGATTAGGCTGGACTAGGAAATAAAAACCGCTAAATTCAATTTTTCTATGATCTGATTGAATACCCAATTTTAATACACGAAAAAGTAGGCAGCGGTGCCTTAATACAGGATATAATAATATATGCCTTATATATTATATATCCTGTCAGGATATATTAATATATGCCTTAATATAGGATTAGGCCTTAATGCAGGATGAGGCCATGTGCACGTCTAGAGATTGTTTACAGAGAGGTTTATTATACATGCACTCTTTTGGAAATATTGAACTAGTAGCTGTACTGGAAGCTACCTCTCCTTGTCTGCAGAATTTTTCAACGAAACAGTTTTTTTCTTTGTTAAAACGAAAATAAACAAGAGATAGAAATAATTCTCTCTTTTTTATACAATTATTAATTATGTACCCACTATTTTATGATACACTTACTACTTAGGTACTTTTTGTAATAGAAATGGCGACAGATCCCTCTGACGTTTTACCAATAAATTCAGAGAAAGAAAATTATAACAAAGTGGTCAAACGTGGCCCATCAAATATAAAGAAAAAAATTGGCATTACTAAAATCAACTGGTGGTAATGAAATATGTACATTTAAGCTAATAGAGCACATAGATGTCAAGGTCTAAAGGCTAAGGGGCTAATACAACAATATTTTTATGTGGGATAGTCAATGAGACCTGACCTATGAGATTCCTGAGATAGGTTGGTTGAACTTAGTTGATAAATGAAGTTCATCGGTGTAGGTAGGATAGGAATAATAAACAAATACCCTACCTCCCTAAGAGCGATTTTCAGACTTCTTATATTTCGTACTGAAAAAAAAACTTGGCATTACCCATATGTATTAAGTGGCTAATGAATTGATCAACTTTTAATATTAGGAAAATTTTCTAAATAAATTAAGTAAAAATGCAGTAAAAAGGTAAGTAAAAGGTACAAACTAGGTACGATGTAAATGCGACGACAGCTCGTAGGCATAATCCTGTTAACGTTAAAGACAGGTACTTCTTAGCGACCTCATAACGATATTAGCCGAGTAGGGCATAAGAAACACAGGGTTGAACTCGAATTCTAATTTTCACGTTGCATAAAGAAAGGTATCCTCTGGTTAGTCTCTAACCGATGTCTAATATTGTTTACTTTGATTCGAGTTTAAAGTTAGGAGACCTGCTGATCTCCTAACTTTACGTACAAAAATCAGTGACGACACTAGCCTAGTTGACCTAGTGGCAGTGGGCGCGTGCATAGTTACAATTAAGCCTACAGACGTGAAAAGAGTCTTCTTATAGAGGTAGTATTTAGGATTCCTAAATATAGGAATATGAAAATGTATACATTTTCATACTATAAAAGGTACAGTAATTTAATAAAATTAAAATAAAATATACTTAAAAAAAATAAAATGTAGATAGGTTTAGGTAGCACAAGTTCAACCCTGTAGAAAAAATTGTGACCAAGTTAAGTATAGGTAATGTGTTCACCTTCTTAGATGCGTATATCTCATTATGAATATTGATTTTGTTCGCGACGTCAATGTTAATCCTAAGGGTCTACATATAAAAGACGTTAACAAAACGGAGAGCTACGAGTAGCCTCCACAGCCTCGGCAACCCCGCCGCACCACGGGATTGGTTAAACTACACTAAAGACTGGAGTAGTTCGTTTAACGATTTTCTTCAGTATTTTTGTAATAACCATCTCGGAGCTTTCCTCTCCTTAATTTTAAGTAAGCTCAAGTGGATTTTTTCGTTCATGTTTTCGCGAGTGAATCTGGGTTAACGGTTTATTAAAATTGCAAGGTTAAGAACACCACAACGAAGATGTCGTTGACTTTGGATCCCGGGCCTGGTATAGCAGCTCTGCAAGCATGGGGTGGCCAAGTAGCGGCGTATGGTGCCTCCAACCAAACCGTCGTTGACAAGGTGCCACCAGATATGCTTCATATGGTCGATCCTCACTGGTGAGTCCGATTCTTTGATTGTCATGAACAAATCTCACTGAACATGAACTATATTTTTGTAGGCAATATATTATGTACTCCAACTACTACTTCAACTGTATTCTAAATATTTCATAAATAGGTACCAGTTTCCTCCTATGAACCCGCTATGGCACGGACTCTTGGGATTCACAATCGGCGTTCTTGGTTTTATCTCTATTACTGGCAACGGAATGGTCATCTACATATTTATGTCAACGAAGGTAAATAATTAGCTAAACATTTTTTAGTTAGTTCTTGTGAGAAAAATGTGCGACCACTTGAATTTTTCTTTTTATAGAGCCTTAAAACTCCATCAAACTTACTTGTGGTGAATCTTGCTTTCTCCGACTTCCTTATGATGTGCTGTATGTCTCCGGCTATGGTGGTTAATTGTTATAACGAAACGTGGGTATGGGGTAAGTAAAGCTAGAGCATTTGGATTCTTTTTTTCCAATCATAAGTGTAATCGATAAAATATTTTTTTCTCATCGCACTTTTTTATATCTCATTAGGTCCTCTTGCGTGTGAACTATACGCGTGTGCTGGATCTCTATTTGGGTGTGCATCTATTTGGACCATGACTATGATTGCTTTCGACCGCTACAATGTAATCGTGAAAGGTATAGCCGCCAAACCAATGACCAATAACGGAGCTCTTCTACGCATCCTCGGCATCTGGGCGTTCTCGCTTGCATGGACTCTCGCTCCTTTCTTCGGCTGGAACCGGTAAGATATGGCCGGAAAAATAAATGTCTGAAGCACTGTACTTTAAAGTGAATCAAATTCTAGGTAATTTGTTACATCTTAATACTGCAGATATGTACCTGAAGGCAACATGACTGCTTGTGGCACTGACTACTTGTCCAAGGATTGGTTCAGCCGAAGTTATATCCTGATCTACTCCGTCTTCGTGTATTTCTTGCCTCTCCTCCTCATCATCTACTCTTATTTCTTCATTGTACAGGTAAGTACAACTGAATTTAATTTTAGTAGGTACCTCCCTATTATTTTCTTCGTAGTGATAGGAACTAACTTAACTTTTCTCTTATTCAGGCTGTAGCAGCTCACGAAAAGGGAATGAGGGAACAAGCTAAGAAAATGAACGTGGCTTCTCTTAGGTCTTCTGAGGCAGCAAACACAAGCGCCGAGTGCAAATTGGCAAAGGTTTGCCACATTATTTCTTCGAGTTATGTTCTTTTGTGTCACTTTTATATTCTGTTTTCATGATTAAACATTGTTACAGGTGGCTCTAATGACCATTTCTCTGTGGTTCATGGCGTGGACACCCTACCTAGTGATTAACTACACGGGTGTCTTCGAAAGCGCACCCATCAGTCCTCTTGCTACCATCTGGGGCTCTCTCTTTGCCAAAGCTAACGCTGTCTACAATCCTATCGTATACGGCATCAGGTCTCGTATTTTCTTGTTCAATTAACACAACATTATATCATTTTGTCTACAATAACTAATAGGTAATGCAACCTAAAATTGGTATATGAATGTTACAGCCACCCGAAGTACCGCGCTGCTCTGTACCAGAAGTTCCCGTCACTATCGTGCCAGGCGTCGCCAGACGAGAGCGGCTCGGTGGCATCCGGTGCCACAGCCGTCTCCGAGGAGAAACCTGCGGCCTAAACACGTTTGCGTCGTCTCCGATAACAAACCTCCACGACTCGGCTTCGCTGTTCTATGGACACGATTCTGCCAAAGCGATGTTATTTATTATTTTTATACGCAAACATTTACATTTGTACAAAGCTATAAACTCGAGCACAGAGCGTGTGCTGGTTGCAAAATATTCAGGTTGTCCACCCTACAAATCGGCACTTGCGTATTTTGAGTTCACGTTTTGGGCATCGAGTTGAACGTTGCACACTTTTCTTATACCTTACATTTGCTTAAAAACCGGTCGACGGCATATAAAAAATCCAAAAAAAAATACAATCAGCAGTATGTCGCCAGACCCCCCTTTACCCATGAGACTGCTCCTCTTAGATATTATATAATGCTATAAATGTCTCTACGATGAAACAGGCTCTGTATCTTGGACTAATAAATTTAAGCAAGCAAAGTGGTTAATGATCACGTTACAAATTGTTTTATTTCTTCAAATCGACCTTATACATACGTTCTTACGACCCTAAATGGGATGTCACTCGTTTCCCACCTACCTCATGGCATTTTTCATCTATACATATAATAAAACTGTAGAAGAGCTAATTAGCACTGCTACATAATAAAACAATAACTAGTGGGGTGTGTTACTAAATAGAACGATCAACAAAAACGTGTTTAAAAAAAATTTCTGTCTGTATGTTCACGCATCACGCAAAAACTACCGGTCTGATTACGATGAAACTTGGTATGATTATACTTTAATTAACTTGCACACAACATTACTTTTTATCCCGAAAAAGAAAAAAATAAACTTACAGGTCGTGCGGCTCGATCCCTAGACGCAGTTAGGTACTGTACCAAACGCAAATATAAGTTATAATAATAATAACTTTAATAACGTGTCTTGGCTACGATTCAGTAATCTCTTTGGAGAAACTGAAGGATTTGTCTGTGCAATTATGGACGAAGTTATCCTTACGAATAACTACCGGAAATATATAATTAAGGATGGGACGGTTGACATATGTCGGGCATGTCATAGTCCTGGTGAATCCATTAGACATATTATTTCTGGTTGTGGTCGTTTGGTTAACAGTGAATATTTGCATAGGCATAATCAAGTAGCTAAGATTATCCATCAGCAACTTGCTTTGCACTATCGACTTGTTGAGTCTGAGGTACCGTACTACAAGTATGTGCCCGACCCAGTTCTGGAAAATGATCATATCACGTTGTACTGGGACCGGTCTATCATCACTGACAGGACTATTATAGCCAACAAACCTGATATAGTGGTGATAGACCGACAACTGCGCCGCACGATGATAATCGATATCACTATTCCTCATGATGAGAACCTCGTGAAAGCTGAAAAAGATAAACAAATCAAATATCTTGATTTGGCTCACGGGGTTGTCGACATGTGGAATGTAGATTCGGCTATCATTGTGCCGATAGTCGTGTCGGCCAATGGGTTAATCCCTAATAGCCTCGACAACCACCTTAGGAGGCTAGCGTTAGGTAGTTGGGTCAAGGGCCTGATACAGAAGGCAGTCCTCCTTGAAACGGCACGTATCGTGAGGAGGTTTCTGTCTCTGGAGCCCTAACCACCGGTAGCTTGGACCATGCTCCCGCTACTGGTCGGCTCCTATTTTTTATATTTTTAAATATTATTTTTATGTTTCTGTAAGTAGTATTTAAAAATGTATTTTATAGAGAATTTAAAATAAATATATGGAAATAACTTTAATAATAATAACTTTATTCACCACACCACATAGTTCGTCGAATGTTAAGTTAACCCGCAGGCTAAAGGGATTGGAACAGAGGTAGATTATGGTCTGGAGTAACATATAGGCCATACCATACCATTTTTACCCCCGGGAACGCGGGCGAAGCCGCTAGCTGAAGCTAGTATATAATAAGTACCTATAAATATAATAGTTAACTGTAAAATTTTCTTTCCTAGTTAAGTAGGTTAGGTACCTACCTCAAGTAAGAAGGTAACTCAAATCTACTGATAGAAGTGCCTGAGGCAAGGAGGTTGAAACTGAGGTCTCTCCGCCATCATGGAGTTTATTCGCCATGCTCAACGAGCATACTCTTTGGTCGCAATGTTTGTCACAGCGTTGCTAGGTAACGAGAATAAACAAACATTGATATCGTATTGTCATTCGCTGAAGTAAAAAATACGAATAATGTTATTATTTCATGTAAAGCAGTAAAAAATTAGTTAAATTATTTGAAAATGGCATGCAAAACGTCATTCGAACTTCATCACCATTTCCCTAAATTGGCTGAAGAATCAGGATTTACTTTTAACACACATCGACCGCGTATCCATATAGACTGGAACAAAATTAGTGAGTGCCTACCTATATTTATTGTTGCATAAATTATGTTTATTTAAAACGTTATGACAAATTATTTAACATAGCAATATTTTAAACTGACCGTACCACTATTGGATTTGTTACAGGACTGATAGATATAGATAGTTTGGTAAAAGACAGAAAATTTGTTATCATTGAACAACATTTGAATGACGTAAGTATCTAGATTATAAAATCCCTATTTTTTTAGGTGTAGGAGATCGTACCCGTACGTAATAAATGCCCCAGTTACCTAATTCATACCAAGTTAAACTACAGCTGTCCCAACCAACCTCGTTACCTGTTGCCAATAGACATTAACTTGTTGACTGGCTATCAGAAAATAAGTTGCCATTTGTTTATGAGAATTGTTGTAGTTGTAGTTATTTGTAGGAATAATCCTACAAATAATATTAATAATTTTATATTTTGCACGACAGATTTTGGATTGCGTTATAGAATCCGAGTTTGATGTTCGTATACTCGATGAAGGTGTTATGAAACTGTTTAGACTTGCGCAACTGGCTGTCGAATATCAACAATTTTGCCGTCATTACCTGGATCGGAGTGTATACGTATTACGAGAAGAAATAACTTCACTGGCACAGGTATTGTATATAATACATAAATTAATTAGGAAACTTAAATAAGAAGTCTCTTTACATATACCTACAATAAAACTATATAATAAGTATGTACCAACCAATAAAATTCTTTACAGGAATTAGATACTTGCAAAAAAGATCTTCGAGAAAGAGATGAAGAAATAAGGAGACTAAGAAAGAGATCTCGACATAATTTTAAAAATCCTTTGCCTTACGGTAATGATAACATAGCGACTATGATTTTGAAAACTCTATCTCATAAAGGCGATATGTTTCCTACGACATCGAACGATGCATTACAATACAATAAATGCAACTATTGCGATAAAGTATTTCTCAATCAATTGTATTTAAGAAGCCATATCGCTAGAAGACATTCAAATGTCGTGGAAGCCCCGCAGAAAGACAAACAAGAAAATGCCACAAATAATGAAAATAGTATGTTAAGTGCGGAAGTTAATGAACTTAAAAATAAATTGAGAGAAATGGAATTAGTTATAGCAAGCACAAAGAATCAAAGTAATCCAACAATTGAAATAAAATCTAAGACTGATGATACAGTTAAAGACAACAAAAAAAATATGAAGGATGCGGAAGTATCTACAAACAATGAAGATTACTTATTGAACAAAATTGAAGAATGGAAAAAAGAGGAGCACGAAAATTACAATAAAGAAATGGATAAATTGCGAAGCCAAATTATAGAATCCATAAAAAATATTAAAGAAAAAGAAATTCAAAATTCTTTGCCAACTGAGCCCAAAATAATTAAAGAATTACACGAAACAATAAAACAGCAAGGCGCAGAAATATTAGCTTTAAAAAAGGAACTGAACGATGCTGTAAGTAAATATAATTAAGTATCTACTCTTTACATTCTGATATTTTAGAGACTGATTACTAACTGCTTCTTTGCAACTGACAGTAGTAGGTATTTTTTATTTGCTATATTAAAGAAGTTTGATAGATAGCAGGCCATTTTTTGTTTTTAGAGGATTAGAACGGAAAAAGACAAGGCTGATCGAAACAAAGAAACCGAAGCACAAATATTACTTTGGTCGAATCGAGCCGAAGCTCAAACTAGACAATATGAACTATTGCTTCAGAAGCTGAATGATGTTGCCAAAGACGCTAAAGAATCTCGTGCTCTCGCAGAAGCAGAGAGGGAACGAGCTGCTCAGCTACAAATATTATTACAACAAAGTATGCATGCTAAAACAAATGGATCCCCATTTGTTTTTGACAGCACTGATGATGCACCGGTGAGAAAATTAATATTGTTGATTGGCCTGAAATTAGCATAGGTATCTAAAAACTTCCTCTATTTCAGACGCCGTCGAAGAAGTCCAACTATTCTGATAATAGGAAAAAACCTATGAAAAAGAAAACGAATACAAAGAAACCTGACCAAGAAGTTGAACTCAAAACCCTGGAACAGCTGCATCGTAAGGCTCAAGAATTATTAAATATTGGCTCTATGACTTCCAGTTCTTCGGATACTTCAAGTGAAGTAATAGAAAAGCCATTGCAAACAAAATCTTTAGATATAAAAGCAAGTATTAATAACAATAATGATAAGTCAAATAGAGTAAAAAAAGTAGAAGAAAAGCATCAACAGAAGTCTAATGAACGAGAAGTGCAGGTTTTACATGAAAAGACCCCAATTAAACGAAAAGCTGAAGTGAAGAAAGAAAAGCCAAAATCAAATCACAGTAAAACTTCGAAAGAAGTCACACTACCTGAGAAGCTTCCTATTCCTGGAAGGTATGGTTTACTTATTTTTTCCTTGACAAAATGCTTGTAAAACTTTGATTCATATTTAACAATTGCTTTCAGCCCGATGAAAGTTATTAGGGCGAAAATAACTGAAGAAGTAAATAGCCGACTAGTATCGGCTGGAGTGGATCCACTAAAACATAGACTACCTCGAAGTGTCTTCCAAAAACAACGTTTACAGATACACCAGCAGCAGGAATTGAAAGCAAAGGTAAGCATACCTACATACATTTTTAGTGCCCAAAATATGTTGTCATGACAGAAATAACAAGGTCTATATTACTTATTTCAGAAAAATTCTGCCCACGAAAAAGTAAGACATACAATTCTAGCATACTTGGACGCCAGTACAACAGATTTGAAAAAAAATGTTCCCCAAATACAGGATTATGTTTCCCCCACAAAGGCAACAAAACCGTTTAGAAATTTTACAAGTGTTATTTCCAATGTCAAAACAAAGGCGTTATCGTTAGTGAAAATGAATGATACAAATGCTAAAGATAAGCGTAAATCGTTGAACGCTGAAGTTGCAAAACGGGCGATGTCTTTATTGAAAACTCCCCCGGGTTCAACATCGACTAGCCCAGTAGCTGTAAAACGCAGTCCTTTTAAGACATTTACGACTACCCAAAATGTTTCTACTAAAGCTTTAAATACGAATGTACCAGATGATGAGACAAGTGTCAAGAATTCTATGAATAATTCTCCTAAAATTGTGAAAAACATAACAACGACTAATTATTCTGACGATGGTTCTGATGAAAGCGATCACAAATATTACAATACAACAAAAGTGCAACAAACATCGAAATCTATTGAGAACCTTATTAAGTCTCCAGCTCGTAGACCGTCTTCTGCTGCTGCTGACTACAACCACTCACTAGTAAAAAAATATACTATTAGTGATGATCACTTATTGCGGACACAATCAACCACTAGTTTGATTGAACGATCTTTAAATTCAAACGGAAGCAAAAACAATGCACCACCAAGAAACAATGAAAACAGCAGTGATGATGCGGAATCACTACTAGAGCTACCTGTGAAAAAGAATCAATTGGGTAACAATGCCGACAGTATTATCAAACAAACAAAAAGTGTTTTGAAAAACGCTTCTTCAACGTCGTCTTTGAATAAAAAGAAGGTACTTTTTGATATGGACGCAATTCAAATGAAATCTGTAAGTGCATCGCCATCACAAAGTATTACGGAAAAAAGTGATGGAAACGAAAAATATGAATTAGGTTTAGTTAATCTCGATGCTGACGAATGGGACATATCAAGGTAAAACTTTTAATTATCAAATTCAATGAATTTAATTGTAAATAATCATCATTTATTAATGCCGTATTACTTTCAGCATTGAAAATGAACCGCTGAAAAATGACACAAAAATTCAAAATATAACAACTCACACCACCAGTCCAAAGATAGCTGAATTAAAACTAAAGATAGAATCACAATTAGCACGCCGAAACGATACGCCTACAGCGCCGCTTGTTGGAGCAGTAGATGTTTTGGCTGGTTCGATGGCAAAAGCCTCAAGTTTGGCTGGTAGTAACACCAGCCTTGGCAGTTCCATCCTAGATGATTCTGAAAGTATACCAAATCAGAAAACGTTCGTGAAACCTAAGCCTGTAAGAGTTGCCGCCAAAGATGAAAGTGACATAGACATCTCGGAATTTAGTATGGATGGCATAGTAAATAAGAATGAATCTTTTTGATTGAGTAAGGATTAAACATTTTTATAGTACAAAAAGTCTACCTAAGTAAAATGTTATTTTTAATAATAAAGTTTTGCTTTTGTCATATGTTTATAATTATATCTAAAAAACATACAAAATAAAAAAAATAATAGCAGTAGCCTTTTATTTTTTCAAAGAGATAATCAGCAGTGAACATCTAGCTATAGGTTATATGTACCTAAATATCTACGTTTATTATGTATTCCAAAGTCATGGTACCTAATGTATTTCTGCCTTGTGTCGGAAATATATCTTTTTAAATATTTCTATGATATTGGTCAAGACCCGTGTGTCGTGGCGCCAGAAGCCTATCGGTTATGCTCCGGGATAGGCCGCGAAATTAAAATTTTCGAATTTTGCAATTAACAGCTAGATATCGGACACAACACAATATTTAATAAAATGTAACCTACACTTAAAAAACAATCTTCAATGCTCTCTTCTTTTTAACTTAGTTAATTAGGTAATAAAACCTTGTCCAAAGTGTAACAAATATTTTCTAAAAATCGCAATAAAATCCCGCCGTGTCAAGTCCGCCATTCAGTTATCTTTTGTGAAGAAAAGAAAAAAAGTCGGTTCAACCATTCCCGAGATAATGTCACACCAACACATACAGGTCAAACAGAGAACCTCCTTTTTTTGAAGTTGGTTAAAACATTTTAGTATTCGATATCACCACAAAAATCTTACGATAGTTGATATTTCGCGTACTAGGTACCTACCTACCGAACCAGGGAGCCACACTAATTGTATCTTTGTATGTCGTGTAGTGGCGTCTAACCAGTATCGTAGCGCATTTCAGTCATAGTCATAGAAAACTTAGTTATATTATCTCGATCTGAGAATCGAACGCAGGAGCAAATTCCTAAATGCCTACGTAAAACGGGGTGAATAGATACAGGACTCTTTTGTATCTATTCACCTCTCTAATTCTATTCACTCCGTTTTACCGTTACTTTGAAGTAAATGAATATTAAACAGGTACAAAACGAATAAAAGACAAGATAGACTGCTGAAACATTTATTTATATTGCAACATTTTCGAATAATAGATGATAGGTTTCGTGACGATTTCCATCAGGCAGGAAAATCTGTAAAAATTGTAACATTATTGTTATTATACACTACACAGATTTTATCAGTTTATAAATAAAATATTGGCAAAATCAGTAAGAGCCTCTGTGTAATCAAAGTATTTTCAGAGTAGGTAAGTAAAAGTCATCATGTTATATTAATAAGTGCTGCTATAACTTCAAACTCAGCATATAATAATTAATCTATGGGACAGACACCATGGTAGACAAAGCTATCACTAAGTTTCTGACATAGGTACATACTTACATATTGTTTTATAGAGCACTCCATGTTTATACAAGGCAACAGCAAGATCTGTAAAGAAAGGGTAATATTACTACACTAATATCACAGACAAATAGTGACAAAAAGCTTAACATGGAACTTCAGAAAGAGCCTCTGTGTAATCAAAGAAATTCAGAGTAGGTAAGTGAAAAGTCATCATTGAACAAAATAATGCTGTTTAGCAGAACAAGTGTGATAGTAAAAAAAAAAAAAACAGCTCGACCTATTTTCATAAAACGGGTTATCTATAACAACAAAGCGAATCTACTAGTAGATAAAGAGAACAATATAACTATTAATATACTTACATAGTTCTTGGAAAGTAGACTGTAAGTGAAGTTCACACAGGTGGTTTGCACTAAAAACAAAATGATTTTTAATAACAAGTTCAGATATATAAATTGATATCACAAAAATAAGATGCAAAAACTCACCAATTACTTGTCAACTGAAAAATACCTATTACCATGCCATTTTGAAGGGGTTTTAAGGAGAATAAAAGCAAGATTGGAATTTACAGATTTTATTTTGGATAAAAATACGTCTACGTCTCCTTCTTGGTGTCGGTCTTGCCACCACGGATTCTTCCGGTTCTGCGGGCGGCGATAAGACCGACCTTGCGACCAGCGGATGTTCCTCTCTTGACAGTCGAAGCCTTACCTGTAATAATAATAATAAAGTATCATAGCGAACATCTTTCTAAATATTATTAATCAAAAAGGTACAATAATAATGCAGCTGAAATACTCACCAATATGTTGGTGGTTACCACCTCCGTGAGGATGCTCAACGGGGTTCATAGCCACACCACGAACGTATGGCCAGCAGTTACGCTTAACCTTGTACTTGTGGTAGGCACGTCCAGCCTTTAGGATAGGCTTGTCAATACGACCACCTCCGGCAACAATACCTGCAGAAAGATTTTATATTCAATAACAAGTTACAAAATCAAATTTAATAATATTGTGAAAATTATTAGTCAGAAAGAGCCTCTTGTGTAATCAATGATTTGTCAGAGTAGGTAAGTAGAAAGTCATCATATTCAAACTTTATTAAAACTTTATAAATAAAATGTTGGATAATATTGTAAATAAGAAAAAATAATAAGTCTTTGGATCAATTTACTCACCAACCATGCCTCTGTTGCTTGATGGTAGAACTTTCTTGGCTCCAGATGGCAGCTTAACCCTAGTACGCTTGGCATCAGGATTGTGGCCAATGACAGTGGCGAAGTTTCCTGAGGCACGAGCTAGCCGACCTCGGTCACCCATCTTCTCCTCTAGGTTGCATACAATGGTACCCTCAGGCATAGCACCCACAGGCATGACATTTCCTGGAAATCGAAAGAAATAATTAGTGAAATACGAACAGAGAGCATGAGAATATTTCAAATAATATAACTAAATGTTGCCCCAGTTGTTAGTGTAGCATGGATTACTGCAAAGTAATGCTCATTACTTGTATATAAAATGTTATTTTTATAATATATTCAGCTCTATTTTATAAAAATAACATTTTATTAAGAATCATTATAAAACCCACAGTAAAAATTGTTTTGAAAACAAATGCAACTCACCAACTTCAAGGGTAGCCTTCTTGCCGCAGTAAACAAACTGGCCGGTGTACAGACCCTCAGGGGCAATGAACAGCTCCTTGCGAGTCTTGAACTTGTAGGGGTCACGGAAGTGAACAACGGCCAGAGGGGCACCACGACCAGGGTCATGGATGATGTCCTATAAAAAATTGTTATTTTTAATCAAATGTAGTATAGGAATTGATTAGTGTATTGTAATAATAATAATAGGTAATTAATAAGCTTCCTAAGAAGGTAATTTGGTTTATGAGTATCCCTATTTTATTTTTAGATCAGGGAATATCTAGTTTAATGACAGTAGACTAATATTAACCTGTGAAGTGTCAGAACGCAAATCTACGCGAGGCACAATGTGTTTTCTACTGTCTCATATATCGACAGACAAGAGGACTCAGAACAAGACGAATTATTGGATTTAAGTCTATTGTTAACTTTCTTTTGACGACTGATAGATATTATGTTATGATTGATAGTGTATATTGATTAAATCAGTTGTAGTTTTCTAAAAATTTGATCGATGGAAAATAAGCGATCCACTAGATAAACCATTGTTGTGAAACACTGCAGCCATACTGATGCTAGATTTAATTTTGAGGTTATATTTTAAATTATAGGTTGTAAAACTCTCAAATAACAGCGGTACACGTGCGATTCCAAAGAATACTTGTAAGCACATTAGTCTATCGCTGCTACCCATTATTAACCTATAAGCACAAACAGTTGTCATTGTTGATTGAGCCATCGATAATTTTACCATATCTTGATTGTGATGAGATGTACATTTATTATAATGCTGGATAGATATTAATCAGTTGATGTAGTTCATGCAATCCAAAGTAATATACAGAAAACTTAGCATACCTGTATGACTCTAACACTTGGTGTACACAATGTTTTTGATGATTATTTGATGTGAAAACTAACCTTTACGACACCCTTGATGTAACCATGACGTTCAGCATAGTCCAAGGAACGGAGTTTAGGTGCTCCTTTCCTTTTCTTAGTGTGCGAAACGAACACTGAACCGGCACCTTTACGCTGAGCACGAATCACACGACCCATGATTACGTCCCGTCACTGAAATTAATTCAATGTTTTGCAATAAACGTAAAATTAAACCATTTTCCGAAGAATGCATATAGAACGATTGTTATTTTATAATTTCCAAATAGAAATCTTTAAGATACATGGTGATAAATTTAGATATAAAATTAAAACCTAAAATTTTACGTACATTTCTCGGACGGTCACTTTTGAAAGAACACAAAAATGTTGCAAGCCCCTAAATTTGTGACTTGTAATAAAAAATATTTTTTATGCTGGCAATATTTCAATTTAATTTTTCTGTGCTTTGAGCTTTCATTCATGGAGCTCGGAAAACGAAATTATCTTTTTAATATAACTTAAAAAATAATAAACTGTACGGCACAGGCCATAGAAGTAACTCACCGGCCTCAGTACAGATCAGCGATGGTGTGCGAGTGGGTGTGGGCTTTACTGTGTTTTTTTTTATAGAATTGGAGGCAAACGAGCAGACGGATCACCTGATGGTAAGCGATCAGCGCCGCCCATGGACACCCACAACTTTAGAGGAGTCACAGGCCATAGCTGCGTTACCGGTATTGTACAAAGGAATACGCTCTTTTTTGAAGGTTAGAAGGTCATATCGGTTCGGAAATACCGCCGACGACAGATCATTTTACAGTTTTGCTGTGCGAAGCAGAAAGCTATGTGAGAAGCGCACAGTAGTGGCCTGCCAACCATCTATATAATTGGGATGCATATGCTATCGTGAGGGTCGATGGCGAAATGATGCGGCAGGTATCAGGTCAAACAATTCCTCAGAGCACTCCGTGGTATCAGCAATAGAAAATTCACAACGAAGCTACATCTCTACGCATTGCCAAAGTGTCTAGACGGTTTGAAACATCGCGACATCCAACAATCCGAACGGCACGCCGCTGAACTGGGTGCCATTCGGATTGTTTGGGGTGCCTCCGCCAAAAGATGAGAACAGTATTCCATGTAGGGCCGAACCTGCACCTAGAAGTAGGCTGTGGGCCGGGGTGAAATACTGCCTCGATCTATGTGTGGGGAAAAAGAAAAGGTTCTTTTTACCTTATACTTATTCATGTATACGTTATTTGTTAGATTTTAAGTATTAATTGTGAATACTATGTAATAAATAATAAAAAATTGTATCCATAAGATCAACTATAGATAAATTCTAAACTTATAAGCTTAGTATTTACTTTTACTTTTTTTGTGTATTCAACATTTTAATATTATAATTCTAGATAAAAAATAACTATTTATACTGTAGATAAACAAGGTTAATAATTTTATAACTTAAAAATAAATTTAAATTTTTCTATGCTTTGTGTAAATTGTTATTTTTAGTTCTTTTTTATTTCATTTTTATCTTACGTTGTATATATTTAATAATGGTTTGTATATTTATTTCATATTATATATTTATTTTATATAAAAATAAATGAATATTAAAATTTCTGTAATTTCTTTTTCTTTTTGGCAACGGCGTCTCCAATACAGTGTTGTCGACTATACTGCCAGAATAGAATAGTAAATTTTGAACGCATCATTTTAACGTCATTCTGACATTTGCAAAGTGTATTAAAATGTCAGTGTCAATTGCATAAATCTATCAATGTCATTGTCAATTGTCTTGTTTAATACGGTTAAATTACGAGCACTTTGATAAATTATTAATAAATAAAAGTGTTTATTTTAATCGTTTTGCTATTGTGATTTATCGAACTTGAACTGACTGAATCATTATTTCCAAGAGCTCTTGCAAAAAGGTATCTAACTAGAATACGTTTTGTGATTGTTACGTCTTAGAAAAACACATTTGTATGTGTGCATAATACAAACATTTAGGTCACGTTGTGGTCACGTTGCAAGTGGCGTGGACGGATCTGACATTTCTATAATTCTCATAATTCAGTAGTTTTGTACGCCACTTCTGTGATTACCTCCTCCCTTATATCGACGTAACATATTCTAAACGTTCTAGAAGGAGTAGAATCCTGTTTCATGAGCAATTGTTATCTGTATTTCTATATTTTTAAATACATTAATGTTTTGGAAACCTTTCAGTGGGACTTGTTAATTTGATTCTATAGTTGAGTGGTAATGAGAAGTTAAATGGTACCTAATCAATAAAACATTGTAACAGTTTTGTGATTGAGCTGTTATTATAAGTAAATTTTGTGCAACATCATTTATTGGACTGTGACTTGAAATCTATTTTATGGAAATTTATAGAGGTGAGTGTTTTATTGTATTATTCCTTTATTAAGAATCAATCAATTAAAAAGAATTCAATAATTTCAGCTTTTAAATATTATAATTATTTACTGTGGCATGTTTTAATTGGCTTAGAATATAAACAAACTATGGTGAGTTTACTTTTAAAAATTAATCAGGATGATGATGTAAGTACCTCTATATTTGGCTGTACTATGTTACCTACTGTCTTTATTATTTTTTAAATTTGAATGAGAGACAAAGTAGTCTGTGAACCATATTATTGTGTGTTATGCCTTATATTCTCATCACTCCTTTGTTCATCATAGCCATTATTTGTCTTTAAACATTTTCAGACTAACAATATCTCAAGCCATGAAACTGATCTGAATTATTAAATTACATTAACAAACCATTACTTATATTTAAGTAGATTAATTTTGCATAAGAATTTAAGTATAGGTAGTTCTTAGGTTCTTAGAAAGAAGGATCAATTTTCCTTGCCTTGTCTTTACAAGGTTACTTGACAAGCCTTTCATAAGCAAAAAACATTATTTCTTATGTCTCAATAATGTTTTCTTAGAATATTATTATTTTCATATTTAATATTATCATTCCTGTAAGAAGAAATTCTCAAGAGAATATGTCTATGATGATAAAAAAATAGAAAGTTATAATTTATTTCTTAATAGTGGATCATTAATAAATTATAGTGTTTATTCTTGAATTGGTAAACAGCAACAAGTTTTATATCTATTTTGTAGTAATTTGATGTGAAAAATTGAGATTGACTGTATTCATTTTTGTAGTTGAGTGTACTTCTCTACTTGCAATCTATAGACAACAATATAATACAATAGGGAGCTATCTTCATAAACATGTTTTGTGTTACTGAAATTTTTGTAAAACATGTAAATTGTAAAGTGAAGAATTTTTATAATACTTTTGGCAGCTATTTTGGCAACTCGTGTATCATCCTCTAATCAACATCATAACATCATTAGCCTGCTGGTTCCCAAAGGCGTAGGCGTCGCGCGTCGCAATACGCTTGACTATCGAAATTAACTTGCTCTATACATCAGTGATCATGTTTAGTTCATCCCATCCATGTAATAAGTACATGATAAATTACTTGCCTCAAAAAGGTATACTATTATTTTTGCACATTCTATTTACTTGGAAATTGAACCATAAACTTCATACTTTCGCTTACGGGGGGTATGCCCGATTTCTTATCGTAATTTTTCGATAGTGACGTCTTTATCGCTACGTATTTTTGATATCGGCTATACTGTATCTACTTATCTATAATATTCGTACATATGCATTTCGTATATAAGTAGTTCACTTAGTTACAGCCACGCACGATAAACACTACGCGTCTCTCGCGTTAATGAATGGTGCGCCTGAACACAATGACGAAAGGACAAATAATAAAGTATTTAAAACAGGTTGCTAAAAAATTATAATGATAGTACCGAGCTAAAAAATCGAATAAAATAGGAAAGCTATTGTTGCTGACTGGGTTCTGCTCAGTAGTTAAGTACAAGTTTCACACGTTCCGGTTGCCGGGTAGGAGACCCGGAGGAAGGGTACCCGGCGGCGCAGTGTATGGCCATAGTATAAAGAACACAAAGTAGGCCATCTTCTTCCCAATCCGCGATATAATTGCCTACTGTCTTAGGGTTGTCACTTTTAGTTAAATATTAGGCGCAGCTGTTCGCGCTTCGCTCGCAACCGCATGAACTGTGGCAACGTCAAGTCGCCTCTCTAAGTTGCCACTAGATGGCTCTGGCGGTAACATAGTCTAAGAGCTTGTGTTTAAATTATTCATTTTATGTGTAGTGCTTTATACATTATACTTACTATTTCGTTTTTTGTATATTTTTAATATGCATAATGTAGAATTTGTACATTTTTACACATGAACCATATTTTCTTTAAATTAATACAAAAATAAATAATACAAACATATTTATTGAATCACAAATTTATAAAAAAATTACAAATTAGCTACAGAAAAATACTTTCTTCGGTTTCGACTGTTACGAAACGCCTTGTTATTAAATTTTAATGTGTAATATATCCGCATCCTAATAAATAACTTTTGCAAATATAATTTCGGAAAGCATGGGCAGGGCGGTGAAAACTGTAAATCTTTTATTTGTTCATAAATAGACATGCCAATTTTGCAGTTTATGTGATCCTTTTTAAATGCTTTTTGGAATATCTGCTCCATCCTCTTAATATTTTCTACAAAGTCGTCGGGTGGAATCACTAACAAAATTTGGTCTTGCGAATAATTTTTGTTGTGAAAGTACCTAGTTTCTGCACTTAAGTTGCAAACTTGTTGATTTGAGTTTAAATACAATTTAAGTTGTTCGCAATCCTCGTGACGATCAATGCATTTTTTCAACAAGGCTCCGCATACGTAAAAAAAAGCATTTTTTTCGGGAATATCAAATTCTATATAGTCTGAACAACTAACATCACGCAATAAACTATTTGACTGCAATATCTTTGATTGGTTAATATTGATAACGGGAGGAACGTTATTGATTTCAGTACTTTCATTATCCATATTTTTGAAATTACTTAAATGAACGAGGGATTCTGTCAAATCTTCCGTACTATTGCCTTCTTTCGGGGCCCGGATAATATTGGCAAAGAAAATTTTGCGATATGCAGATATAAACTGTCTGCTAGTTGGTTCTAGAGCATTTCCATTTTTCGATCTAATTTTACCAAAAAAATTCTCAATCACATCCTGATTAAGACGTCTTGTCAGAATGTATAGATATCCTTCTTGTTTAAGATCTTCGTGCAGATGTAAAATTGACTTGATTGTGATCTGAAACCCTTGTATAAATTTCACATTTTGAGTAGCGTCGTTTCCAGTTCGGGGATCTCGTAATTTTAATGTTTGGAAAAAAGTCAACATTTTATTGAAAAAATCAATCTGTTCTTTACACCCACGAAACGCTCTTTTGTACTTATAGCTGTCACGGAGACTCGATGAATTCAATGCGTCAAATAGATCGTTCATCAACATTATTAATTCGACTGTGTCCCTTGCTGATTCATCTATCACATTAAAATCTATGTACGTTGACAAACCCGCTGCTACAGATCTGCTTAAAAGTTGCGTCGCGTAACGAACTTTCATCTTTTCAAAGTTCGTAGGGTACATATGGCTGTTAGTCAATTTATGAGCTTGTCTAAAGCTTTTCTTCTTATCATGCTCATAGAATTTTTTTATGTGACAAAATTTTGCTACATTTTGAAAATGAAAATCATATGCCATCAAGTTCGTACGAACCAACTTTATCAAATGTGGTGCGTCAAATATATAATAAATTTTATTACCATTAACAGTAAAGTAAGTTTTGTTTACGCAAATCCCTCTTTCTTTAGCAGCTTTTAGCAAATCTGGTCCCATATCTGAAACGCACACTCTAATTTTTAATCCAATTTCAAAGATTTTAATTATAAGTTTATCAATCCATATAGATATATTAGCATCGCTCGAACATTCCGATAATAACGCGTAGCCAATTGGCTGGCTCCATTTCACAAAAATACCTCTCATTATTAGAACTAAGGCATATTTTGCTGGTGTCGGCGATTGGACGCCATCTACTTCGTGGAAGCCAATCGTTTTTTATATTGTAAAAGACGTTGGTTTTTAAACTCATAGCATCCATCACTAAAGTGCAATGTTTTTCTCTCTCTGACATATTGTTTACTTTTAATTTTAGTGCTGTCATTAATTCTTCGTTTATTTGAGTAGTCATCGGAATGTATAACGTATTTAACGTGCTTCTACAGGGCAGACAAAGAGTTTTTTTTAATAAACGGTAAGCTTGTGGGCTGACGTAGTACAAGTTTAAGCAAAACATTTTGTAAGCGATAGTGTATCTGTTTCCTTTGTTAGCATATTTTAAGTGTGTTTGAGCTTTAACAAGTTCGGCTAAGTCCTTAGATAAAAAACGATCACATAATTTATAAAACATATCTTGTGAAGAATTTTCTAATTTATTTGCATGTAAACGCTTTTTACATTCTAATAACGCCGATTGTAGTTTCCTCTTGCGTGGGGTACTTGCAGAAAGACCGGCAGAAGTTTGAGTTAGATTATCCGTGGTGTTAATATCTGTTTGGCATGATGAAGTGGCAATAGTTAGATCAATTTCATATGACCCTGAAGCACTAATTGTTTCTGTTTGACTTGAATTATTATATGAAGTTTTTATTTCCACTTGTGTAGATTTGTCAACTTTTTGAAGATTTGGTAAATTTAAACTCGGCAAACAATTTTTTTTTAGTAATTTTCTAACGCTGTTTTTTATTATGTCTTCTGGGTGGAAATGGGCTTCACAAACAACATGCTTCGGTTGGAATTTATTTTTCAAATCCTCACGATCAATTAAGCGCAGCCACTGAAGGCGTCTGAAATAAAAAACACATTTAGTACATTAGATGTATATTGTATAATAATAAAATAATAAAGTGACTGAAATATTATCATTAAAAGAAATAAAAACAACATTAATAAATCTAACGACTGTCTCTTAGACTATAATCGAATTTGTTGTTATGATTCGAACTTTGCTCTGTATGTGTACCTATTTGATTTACAATTATGGTCTATCGGTTTAGATAATTAACTAAATGTATATAATCTTCGCATGTCTTTTTATCTAAAAGTTGCAAGAAATTGTATGTAAAAATGTCTACAATCAGGTATTTAACTAAATCGATGTTAGGTATTTAATTAATCTTTGTATGTATTTTATACGACCTCTTTAATATAAAAAGACATACCAAGATTGTTTATGTTTAGTTAATCACATAAATCGATAGACCATAGTCAATTACCTACTTATTTTGCATTACGATTTTATAACTGTAAGTACATAGGTAGGTACTTAGTTACTATACCTACCTACAATATTGAGAAATCTACATAACCATAACTAAACGTAAACAAAACAATAGGCGACAATAGCGGCAAATCAATTGCCAGATCAAAAGTACCTACTTAATACATTCTCGTAGGAAATTACGCCTACCTACCTACTTCTTATGTGAGACTGATAGAAAACTAACACAAACAAAAAATAAGTAAGTAGGTATCTCATCATCAAGTACCTACCTACAAATTATAATAATATTATGCTAGAAAAAGTGACTAGCTTACCTTTCCTGTTCAATAGGTAATCTGAACAGAGACAGTTCTGGAATCGATGAATTATTAAGACACCCAAACACACAACAATACGTTCTTCTACGATTATCAGACATTTTTTATTTCATTGAACAGTGCCGAAAAGCCGTGATGCGCGCGCGAACCTCGTGCAGTGTTAGCCCTGCCTGGCGCACTGAGAAACGGGTCGAGATTTTGTTAAAGTGTGCGTGTGTCGACGCATACTTACAATGGCGCACACATATAAGCCGCGCGCGGAGCATTTGTATGAAGATAACCTACTTTGTTCTTTATACTATGGTATGGCCATGTACTGTAGCTTTCACACGTTCCGGCGTAATTTGTATACAATTCGTCGCCGGGTACCCGGCACCGGCTACCCGGCACCGGCTACCCGGCACCGGCTACCCGGCAACCGGAACGTGTAATAATGCACTTAAGCGTCGATATTAATTACGTAGGTAGATTTAGCACTTATGACGCATAACGGCCTTTGATTCTCACTTGCAGATATCGTGTCATATAATAAATTCCGCTATATGTTATTCTACGTCGATGGATTAATCAATATTACCAGTGCACTGGTGTACACAGATTAAAGTCTGAATGAAAATGTATAATGTTGACCGACAGCGCACTAGAACCCCTTTATCGTTGCGTAAATTTTCATCTTACCCTTATCGACGCCGACGTTCATATGTCGGAATACTCAAACGCTACTCAATTTTAAGTCGCGCTTACTTAAACTGTCAAACACCAAGCGGTCACCGGTGACCGCGACCTATTGTTCTTTAATTGTGTCTATAAAACCGGTACTCGACGAGTTAAAATTGAGTATTTCAGTATTAGACTTCTAATTTATGGAGGTTATTATGCGCGATTGTAGGGTACTTATTAAGACCAAGTGATGACAGATTTGTTATTCATTTATTAACATACTAGCTGTTGCCCGCGACTTCGTCCGCGTAGAATAATGACTTCTGACAGAATTCATCAGAATCAATTCAGTGCCTGTGAAATGATTTATCGTGGTTTCAAAAAATAATAATCCCGCAGGGATCTTACCAGCACAGTGCCTGTTTCCGTAAGGTTTTAGTAATAAAATTAATTCTATCGACTATAGTATCGAATCTTTCTAAAATAAGTTTAGTGGTTAAGAGATAGAGAGTCCCGGGGCTATAACGCATAGTTCCCGTTCTCGTAGGACTTCTGTGATAAAAACTATCATACATCGTTTCCCAGGTCTCAAATTATCGTTTTACCGAATGTAACTCGAAAGTTTTAATGATTTTAGATTCTATAATAATAGCTAAGACGATTTATACAAACTCTCATCTCCTATATTATCCTCTAAGGGGTGGAATTTATCAAAATCCTTTCTTAAGGGACGTTTACGTCATATTTTTTGCTTGCCGAATTTGAACCCGATCTGTGGAAAACTGATAAAGTGTCAAACAAACTTTCATCCCCTATTTTACCCCATCGGGGTTGAAAATAATCAAAATCCTTTCTTAGGGGATGTTTAAGTCATAACATCTATCTGCACGCCGAATTACAACCCGATCGGTTCAAACTGATAAAGTTCCATACAACTTTCATCCTCTATTTTACCCCCTTGGGGGTGGAAATGATCAAAATCCTTTCTTAGCGGATGCCTACGTCATAATATCTACCTACATGCCAAATTTCAGCTCAATCCGTCCAGTGGTTTGAGCTGTGCGTTGATAAATCACTAAGTCAGTCAGTCACCTTTGAATTATATATATAAGAAGATGACAACATAAATGCTGCTCATGTATATGAACCTCTAGTGTGGTTTGAAACTAGTCGAGATCCTCGTCACGCAGTTACGCGAACAAGCCATTAAACATAATACACTTGTCTAGAGAATTTATATTAATAACTAGCTGACCCGACATACTTCGTAGGTACCGCCTAAAATTTTTATCTAAGCTTTTAAACCTCATCTGGACTTCCACGAACATTTCAAGACCAAAATTTGCCAAGTCGATTAGCCGTTCTCGAGATTTCACGAGAGTAATGGAAGTTCATTTTTATTTAATAGATTGTTTTAATAATATCGGTAGGTACAACCAGTACATATCTACCGAGACCTACACCACTACACTTACCACAATTATTCTCTAGAAACTTAAACGAGTTGCATAACTTGAGGTCACGTCGGTATTCCTCGAAAGGTTAGCTAAAGAACTGTATAGGTATACCTACTTATAAGTAGTCACACCCACGCCTTACTCTTACACAAATCAATAGAATCCAGGCAACTTCAGAGAGGTACTGTTTAAAAAAAATTTAACTGAAATAACGACCAATCATTCATACACTTAAAGAGAACTTATCTTTTGATGGCGTTAAACAGCTCCGTATTCAACCAGCTAGTTATTGACTTTCGATATAATATCAAAAACTAGTACTTTATGGCATAAATGATTAGACGATAACGCACTTGTAACGCCTCTGGCGTTTCAGGTGTCAATGGACGGCGAAGATTGCTTGCCATCCAGGTGATTCGTCTGCTCGTTGCTCGTATCCCATAAAAAATAGCCACCAATGCACCAATTCATTACCTATATCATGTTTAAAAACGATGCGAGTATATCTGTATTCGCATAGCTTAAGTTAATTCTACTGAAGTTAGTTATAGGAAACCTAAAACTCCCAACCTAAGCAATAGTCTATTAATAGAAGTCAATAGGAATAGGTACCAATATTATTGATATGGTAGCAAATAGGTACCTAGTATGTGCCATGTGCCTAAGTAGTCGCTTTATTTATGATCAATGCCGTTTGTTCAGTCACAGTCCGCAAAATAATAAGTTTAATGCGTAATAATAGGTGTGCTAAGGTATTTTATTTCATCATTAATTAAAAGGAGGTTTTCGAAACAATTCTTTTGGAAACAAACGTCTGGGGAAATTTTCTTTCAGTTTGATCATTACGACATCAGCATGAACTTGTAAGCTTTCCCAACGAATTTTTTGTTTCGCAAATACGTTAACTTTTTACTGTTAAGAAAGTTTCCACGCACCCCATTTCGCAACTGCCACCACATAACATGTTTTAATTTCTGATGGAAAATTATGACTTCAATCATTTACGTAAAGTATACCTACAAATGCGTTTATTTTCTTTGTAGAACGTAATAACCAATTAGCGGTAAATATATCGATTACATAATGTTGCATATTTATGTAGGTAATATAATATGAATAAGAGGTACAAGTACAATATACAACTGCTGTAAATCTTCTTTCGACTTCTTGACTAACACGTATTTTATTCTTCTAAATAACTATACATGATGCAAGTTCCCACATAATCTGTAGATCTTTCAGTTTTTTGTTAGACTTAGGTACTAAAACGTACGTAGTATACTCGTAGGTATAGTATAATAGTTACGCGTGCACACATTATCTAATGGTCCAGTAGTGCTAGGGATACTTTTATTAAATCATTTAATTAATTAAAAATTTAAATGTTACACCTAAAAGCCAGGAGCAATTAGGAAAATATAAAGCTCCATGATGATTATTTGATTATTCTAAATCTTAGTTGACTGCCGACAGAAAACTGTTATGTGGCAAATATCTCTACTAGTGCTGATGACCTCTATGGAGTTTCATGTGTTAAACGACGATGGCTGCAAGTGCCTAAGGAATGATATAGTTCAGCAAAACGTAAACAAAATAACATAAAATTGCGTAATACTTCGCTTGTATCATGTCAGCATAATGTAATGATAATCAAATATTATGTAGTACTCAGTGTTATTCAAGAATCAAGACTGTTTGATTTGTAAGTAGCTAATATTATAAAATTCAAATTAAACTACGTTGTTTCTTGGAATACGTGATCGCCCTTGAGGTCGTATGTTCACTTGTATTGATATTTCTTTAATTTTAGTTAATGATCCTTGTTTAGGAGATTAGGAATACAATCTCGATTTCATCAAGTCATCAGTTTTACTCACATCACAGCTCTCACCGCTTTTTCTTGTTGTATGTACTGAAATGTAACTAACAATAACTACGTAGGTACTAATTTGAATTATAACCAAAAGAAGAAATGACCCGATTCTTCCAAAGAATGGAAGCTCTTTTCGTATTAACAGGGTGGTGGAGAGTGCTTCACGTGTGAGTACTGGCTAGATGGATATTTGACCGCTACTTATTATAGTATGTATGTATTGAAAATCGATTCCAGATATCAAAAGTAACTTATTCTACACCAGGTGCGATGTGGGTAACTACGTGAAGATGTCAGCTGCTGCGGAGACGCTGCCGGCGCCGAACGTACGTCCGCACGCTCCTCCCGCCACTACGCCCGCGCCACCGCCGCCGCCGGCCGCCCGTCGCTCTAATGGCAAGCACATCGTGCACTGGTTCCGGAAAGGCCTGCGCCTCCACGATAACCCAGCGTTAAAGGAGGGCCTGCTAGACGCAGCTACCTTCAGATGCGTATTCATTATTGATCCATGGTTCGCTAGTTCTTCTAATGTTGGCATCAATAAATGGAGGTAAAGCTTTGAATGTGTTATATATATATATATATAATTTTATTGCCACCAAATCAAATGTAATAATGATTCAATATTTGCATGAGATGTTTGAGTCATAGTCCGTGCACACGTAGACGACAGACGCAGTACACACTTGCGTGTGTACCTACGTAGATGTTAGCAACATTTGCCTTTATGCATTTCATGTTTTACTGAATCGATGACCCTTATCTTGACAGGTTCCTGCTGCAATGTTTGGAAGACTTAGATAGTAGTTTACGGAAACTTAATTCGCGTCTGTTCGTGGTGCGAGGGCAACCCGCGGACGCTTTACCTAAACTGTTTCGAGAATGGGGTACCACTGCGTTGACCTTCGAAGAGGATCCCGAGCCGTACGGACGGGTGCGGGATCACAACATTATGTCAAAATGCCGCGAGGTTGGCATCACTGTCACATCTCGTGTATCCCACACGTTATACAAACTAGATCAGTAAGTTTTTTTAAACAATTGTCTAAGTAAGGAACATATTTAGGGCCTGTAATAATTTAATTACAATAACTTTATTTACTTTTTGTAGAATTATAGAACGAAATGGTGGCAAAGCGCCTCTCACGTACCACCAGTTCCAGGCATTGATTGCCAGTATGCCTCCTCCTCCGCCTGCAGAAGCGCCGATATCAGCTCAAATGCTGAACGGTGCAACCACGCCCCTAACCGATGACCACGATGATCGGTTTGGAGTACCGACTCTCGAAGAACTTGGTACCTAATGGCATTTTAGTAGCCTATAAATTGATATTAATTGGGGATCTATTTATAAAAATTACTTATTTTTATGTAATAATTGCAGGATTCGAAACTGAGGGATTAAAACCTCCCGTTTGGATTGGAGGGGAGAGTGAAGCTCTAGCTAGGTTAGAACGACATCTAGAAAGGAAAGCGTGGGTGGCTTCATTTGGTCGGCCAAAGATGACTCCGCAGTCATTGTTGGCGAGTCAAACAGGTTTATCTCCATACTTAAGGTATGTTACGACTACGACATCTTCCTTGAATGTTGAGTTACTGTCTTGAGAAATAAAAACTTGAGTTACTATGTGCTGTAATTTATTTCAGGTTCGGTTGTTTGTCAACGAGATTATTTTATTATCAGTTGACAGAATTGTATAAGAGAGTCAAAAGAGTAAGACCTCCACTATCTCTTCATGGACAGATACTATGGAGAGAATTTTTCTATTGTGCGGCGACACGTAATCCTAACTTTGATCGCATGGAAGGGAATCCCATATGCGTCCAAATCCCATGGGAAAAGAACCAAGAAGCTCTAGCGAAATGGGCTAGTGTAAGTACTACTATTATATTACGTACGCGATGTACTACGGCCGCGATCATTTTGGAATTAGACCCTAGTTAATTACTACCTTCTTCATTTGATATTTTTTGTACGTATCTATATTTATTAAAGTCTATTTATGTTATTTGTTTCTTATAATTACACATGCCTATTTTTTCGCCGATTTTCAATTTAAACCTAAGGTTGACTGGGAGAGAATGCCATATGGCATTAATGTCCGCCTTATGTACCATTACTTGTTTCTGTGTACATTAAAGTTTAAATAAATAAATAAATTTGAATACAAATATTTAATTCTAGGGTCAAACTGGATTCCCATGGATAGACGCAATAATGATACAATTAAGAGAGGAAGGCTGGATCCATCATTTAGCCAGGCATGCGGTAGCCTGCTTCCTAACTAGAGGAGACTTGTGGATCTCCTGGGAAGAAGGAATGAAGGCAAGAAGAGCTACGTTTTTAAGTACTTTAGAATCATTTCATTTAGAATTTAAATTCAAAAACTCGAATAACAGGAGTTTTAGACATTTTCCATATTCAAATGCACCTCAGTACCCAGTTCCAGTTTTACTGCACAGTTCACGAAGTCTGCAATATGGAATAGTTTCAAGTAATCTTAATTTTACAACACCTAGAAAGTGCGAAAGTTTTAGGTGATTAATCATCAATCTCGTTTGTGGCCTCTGCGGTCGAGTTAAATGAATTGTTTGTAAAACCGCCGTGCTGCTGACACCTATTAATTTGAGGAGGGTCCCCGTTCCTGCAGGTGTTCGATGAATTGCTTCTCGACGCCGACTGGTCGGTCAATGCTGGCATGTGGATGTGGCTCTCGTGCTCATCATTCTTCCAGCAGTTTTTCCACTGCTATTGTCCAGTGCGTTTCGGTCGCAAAACTGATCCTAACGGTGATTTCATAAGGTATGTAGCTTTTTTTAAATTTGTTTTATTACCATGCTTATGCAGAATTTAAATTAATTTTATTAAATTCAAAATTTTATTTACAGAGTAAAGCTCCAAGTTGCGTATATTTCGCTTGGGACAGAAATCATAATTTCAACTTAATAATTCTAAATATTACACCATGGTTGGTTAGTCATTGACCCGTGTAGCATCACTACGTATGTAATTAGATGAGTACGTGGCACTAGTGGTACATTGTACCTTAGGTACATGTCTCCGTTCTAACACACAATACGTCAGATCATAATGTTACGCAACTTATTGTTCGAGAGGGGTGACGCAGTGCTGACGACACGCCGCGCCGGTGATGACGGTCAACGATGCTTCGCTTTGTTTGGCGTACATTCTCATTTTGTGACCGTTATTTTTGTTGACAACATCCCAATACGATATATTATAATAAGCAGAGAAATTATATATTGCTTAATTTGACGAATGTCTTTGTTTGCGTGTTTACAGGAGATACATTCCTGCGTTAAAGAATATGCCAACACGGTACATCCATGAGCCGTGGGTGGCTCCAGAGTCGGTGCAGCAGTCGGCACGGTGTATCATTGGCCGTGACTATCCGTTACCCATGGTGGATCACTCGAAAGCATCTCAAGTCAATATAGAACGTATCAAACAAGTGTATGCGCAACTCGCGAAATATAAACCGCAAGGTATACTAAACTGAAACATGATAATAATTGATCTTTAATATGGGATAAGCCGGTAAACTGACAAATCACCTGATGGTAAGCAATCGGCGTCGCCCATGGACACCTGGAATACCAGAGGCGTTACCATTTTTGGGGATTTGACAACTGTTAGGGATTCATGGATTGGGAAGACTGGGGAAGTGGGGGAACTCACTCACACGACGAAACACAAAGCAAGCGTTGTTTCACGTCTGTTTTCTGTGAGACCGTGGCATCTCTCGTGCCGAAGCATGGCTCACACTTAAGTTTAGATTTAGTAGATTGATAAATGCATCTAATTAGATCCCTGCTCTCTGTTCAGTTCGTACTGCAGATGTCAATAGTTATGTATTTTTTTTATATGCACTTTCACATGTCTCACATAATTATATTACATCATGTGATATTTAAAAAAAAATTCTGTTGGTTCTAGGCACATTGAATCCTAATGCTGTGCAGAGGCCAAATGTAATGCAGTCGTCACCAAGTCCGAATTCGATTATCACCAGCATCAACCAGTCTAACTACCTCTGCAGCCAGGCCCCGGAACCCCAGACAACAACACCACAAATAATTCCATATAAAGACAACGATGTCGTATTCCAAAAACCAATGAACCATCGGTCTATGAAACCATCATTTAAACAAGTTGTCATTGTACAGAAAAAACAAAATACCAATGTTATACAAACAGTTTCTAACTGTACGTCACAATCAAAGGAAAACTATATTGTAAATGGTCAACTAGACGGTTCTTACAAAACGCCGATGAATGACAATATACAATCACCTAAACAAGAAAACTATGACTTCAAAAACTTAGTTATCAACAACTATGTGCAAGGCTATTCTAACAATCAAGAAATTTTTCAGAATGAACAGTCAAATAAAAATGAATTGTTCGCACAACAAACTTTGAAAATTAATAATTTTAATTACGAGAAACAAAAATATTATTTATCGTCTTATACCGACAATGATGTTCGCCTATCAGACGTACACAATGACGCGCCCCCTCCGTATGACAGAGAACTCAACGACACCAACATGTCCTTCAACCAAGAAGATAAAAATGAAGCTGTAAAAGACAAAGCTATTGAAAACACTTGCTTGCATCCAATGTCAATAAATGATGAAGGATCAATGTCAAATGAAAATTGCCAGAATAATCCGTCTAATGAATGTGGATTTAACTCCTCAAATGATAATCAAGAATAATAAGTAATAATAAAAACAACATAGATTAATTAGTCATAATCTATTTAAGTACAGTCCAAGCCCAAGCAGAGGACAGTTAAATTGGAAACTTATGTCTTTTATAAGGAAATAATTTGTCAAAGCAGCCAAATCAAACAGCTTGATTGATAATAATATAAAAGCTGAGAGAACAATACATACATATGATATGGTCAAAGTAACGTAAAATAACAATTAATTGTGTGCAATGTGTGCATGCTAAAATTTGAAAATCTGATAATATATCCGGCCAGGCAGATCTCTAAAATTAGGGTGAATAATTATAATTTTACGATAAAATTACAAGAATGTTAGCTAATAAATGTTTCTATACAGTCTTTTCTTTTATTTCATAATACATTTCGAATCGCACAATTTTTAATTTTTACCGACTTCAAAAAATGGAGTAGGTTAGTACCTCCTCCATTTTTATGTTCGGCTGATTGTTTTTTTTTTTTTTGATCGCGCAGTACTCCGCCATTTGTGAACCGATTTCCAAAATTTAAAATTTTCGATTTGTTTTGTTTGAAAGGGTATACTCCCGAGATGGTCCTATTTCCATGAGGTCAGGATCTGGTGATGGGATCCTAGGGAAACCGAGGGGAGCTTTCGAAAATTCTATGGGCGAGTAATGCGTTTATTATGTTTTTCAATTACGATTTTTAAACACTACAATTTGATAAGGGTCTGGAGTTGACCTGATGATGGAGCCGACAGACAGTCGAGGGAACTCCTCAGCGGTTAATATTAACTACCTTGTGTTTGGGCTGGCTTGATTAATTTGTATTGATGAGGACTTTACACCTAGATAGAGTGGGGCTGTCATTAAGGGTCTGATGATGAAGAAGTGTAATTGTTAAAGGAACTCCTCAACGGTATACAGTAACTACCTTGTGTTTGGACTTGATTAATTTGTATTGATGAGGACTTTACACCTAGATAGAGTAGGGCTGTCATTAAGGGTCTGATGATGAAGAAGTGTAATTGTTAAGGGAACTCCTCAACGGTATACTGTGACTTTTTGTTTGTTATTAGTTTTTTTTTTATATTCACTTTCACCAAAACGCAAAGATCAGAAATTATTCATTTATTTACTGCATTTTAACATACATAGCTATTTCATTTCCAATAAAGCTACAGTCTCCATGTGCTGCTTCATTGCCTTTTGCACTTTTCTGGAATTTTTCATTTCCTTCCTGTCAGGTTTTGGCCTTTTCCCTTTGCCTATTTCATTTTGAATTGTTGATAACATTGAATCCTAAAATTAAATAAGTGAAATATAAACATCTTACCCACAAGTACAAATAGAACCAAACTAGGAAGGCACACTTACAGTCTCAGGAATATGTACATATCGAATGTTACGACCTTGTAGAAACAAATCGTCAAAATGATATTCATTCCCTTGAGGATCACAATATACTGCATTGGAAAAAGAAATATTCATATAACTGCAAACAAGTATAAAAATATTGAGTGATAATATTCTGTGTAGTTTTAACTCGTCGAGTACCGGTTTTATAGACACAATTAAACTGTCAAACACCAAGCGGTCACCAGTGACCGCGACCTATTGTTCTTTAATTGTGTCTATAAAACCGGTACTCGACGAGTTAAAGAACAATAGGTCGCGGTCACCGGTGACCGCTTGGTGATTGACAGTTTAATATTTCAGTAATGAATGTCAATTAGGTACAATAATTATGATTTTTGTTCCTTACCCATCTACACCGGCTACTTGTCCACAGATACAAGAATCATTTCGCAGGTCCACTGTTATATTTTTTCCTTGCATAGCTTGAACAAGACACAGTAAAGTGTTGTGAAATTTGAATTTTTCTTTTGATGTTCCAATAAACATTTTTACGTATTGTTATTTATTATCTGTAATTTAAAAAGTTTTGCTCATATAAGTGGTTTGATACATTTTAGGAATTTTACTAGAATAGTAGCAACTTAATAATTAGGATTAAGTTTATAAATGAAAAATGGTAGTTTGCTAGTTCAAATAATTTATTCTATCATACAAATATTAACATTTTTGACTACTTAATACTTATTTTCTACTTCACTATGACAAGTCTTGAATCTGGCTTAGATTTTAATTCTAATTCTGCTCTAGTTATTCTCCATTCTTCACTGTTTTTCTCAGCCCAGAAATAATATGTCCCTTTCTCCTTAGGTCCAGAAACCGGTATTCTAAATTTAGCAGTATTGCCATCGGAAAAGTTATTTTCCGAGTCACTCAGTTTGAATTTCTTATCTTTGATGGGTTCCCCTAGATAGAAAACTGCACCAGAATGAGTCCGCAATTCTTTAAGAGCATTTTTATAGTAATCATAACCTCTCACCCTATCAATAATACGGTTTTGTAAGTAATATCCGGTACCACTGACGAATAATCCTCCCCAAGCAGCAATTTTAACAAGTGTTCTAGTTGTTATAGTCATGATTTACGTTAAGTTCTGTTAAGATTAGTAGGTCTTGTGTATATACCTTATTTTTTTAATTTGCGATTTCAGGAATTCTAAATGTAATCATCTAATGCATTGAAGTCATTAAATCACTTCAATCGTTCTTCTTGAAGTTTGACTGATTCAGAAGACAGTCGGCGAGCCGGTAAAAGTAAATAAATATCTTCCAAGTTTCAATTTATTTTGAAATAATGCAATTGATTTGCAGTTTTCTACTGACATTTGGAATGACTGTCAGTTGTGCTGTCAGTGTCAATTAGTGAAGTGGCAGTAAGCAACACTAAGGCGTATTGTCTATGACCATGAAGTTATATATAATTAATAGGTAAATAAAAGTTATTATGTATACCGGCATTCTCAAATGATCTCCATAGCTGCTATGGAGACCGAGATATTATACCATTTTATTGATTTTATTAATATTATAACTAGCTCCCTGTTTACTTCATGGTAAAAAAATGTCAAGGGCTTGTCAACGTCAAATAATTCCGAAATGACAAATGTCAAACAATACATAACATTGGATGGAATGGAACGTATTTAAACATAACCTATTCATTGAATATAGTTGATTACTGAATAATTTGGTTTAGAGAGTTTTGCGAAATATTAAGTAAGAGAGGAAATATAATAACAATACTATAAATAAATAGTGGCGAATACGAAACCCAAAAAATGAGCACCTCAAAGGGTAGTAACGTAAGGAGACGGCCACAGAAACACCAAAATAAAACTGCTTTCAAGAATGATTTACACGATACGAGTCGTAAAACAAAATTTTTAAACTCACTTGAGATAACTGGTGTCTGCAAACGTTGCAAGGATATACTCGAATGGAAGATAAAATATAAAAAGTATAAGCCATTAACAGCACCGAGAAAATGTGTGGGCTGTGAGCAGAAAACAATAAAACATGCTTACCACATGTTGTGTAACAAGTGCGCTTTAGAGAAAACATTGTGTGCGAAATGCTGCAAACCAGTTGAGGTAAACTATCCCTCTATATCCTAATTTGATTTGATTAAATTCTTAAAGTATTATCTTACTGAGATACAATTTTTTGTACTCCTTTTCAGGATCAGGATTCATCAGCTATTGAAGAGACCCAAAATGTAGATTTAAAAGCTATGTTAAAAGATCTACCAGAAAGGAAACGGCGGACAATTATGAGGTAATTCAGTTTTCAATTTGATTGTGATGTCAACATAAAACCATTACATAGTGATGATAAAATTATGTACTTCTAACAAGAAATAGTATGCAGCTATCTACAATCTCTTAACCTGGCTGCTTGGGGATAAATGGGTTAACAAGTGTGGCTGGCTGCAGACATGCAGGAGCAGCATTTCTTTTTACTTACATTGATGTCATGGCCTAATGTTGACAATATTCTGTAATTTTATTAACCTGCAGATTTTTCTATGAAACTTATAGATACAGATGAAACTATTTTTGGATTTAATTTATGATTGTAAATAAAATAATTGTTTCCAGGTTAATAAACAAACAAGATGAAGGTCAGCAATTGACCCCAGAAATAAAGGCACAGATAGATGATATGCTTTTGAAGATGGACAGCATTGCCTTAGATGATGATGATTTCAATTTTAGTGATGGTGATGATGATGAATATAACTCAGATAGTGAACCAGAAACTAAATAAATAATAACAAACAACACATTTGTACATCAAATAATTGCTTTTGAAATATTAGCAATTAAGTAATAAAAATATTTATACCATTTTAGGTGATTCTTTTTTCATATAATAGTGTACAATAAAAAAATTGTTGAGTTAAAATATGTTTAATTCATTATACATAATTATTATAATGTTTTAAAAATAACAATAATTTACAAACAACAAAACTATGGATAACCATAAAATTTACATTTGATTTCTATTTATTTATAAAACTTAATAAATTGTTATAAAGATAATAAAGCATCTTCAGGTGACATTTCATATCATATAATGCCAAGTTGTCGCAACTGAAACAAAATATAAAACAACTTTAGATACCAAGCAAATAAAAAGTTTTATTATTTCAAGCAAACCTGTAATAAAATTGGCAGGCTTTTTTAAGAGATTTAATTATATCTAAATACTTACGAATCCTTGTCGTTCTTTTTCTTTTTGCAAAACTTGTTTGGTTTGCAAGTCGTCAAACTTGACTATGGCCGCTAACACTTTAGCTAAAGTAACGGAATGTGTTCCAGAACCAGTAAGGTACTCATAAAGTATATTGCGCAAATATTCTAGCTCTGTATTTTCTTGTAACGAATGTAAATGTCTTAGACTAACGAGAGCCTCATCAAGACGCCTCTCAAGTTTTTCATTAGACAATCTTAACTTCTCATTCTTTTCCTGAATTTGTGACATGTTACCATTCACAGACTTGTTCATTTGCTCTAAATCGTTAAGTCGTTTTTCTAATGTGCTGTTTACTTGCAATAAATTATTGTACTTTTCCTTTAATGAATTATCGTTTTCTTGCGAGTTTATTTCTGGCTTAGGATAATTTTGGGACTGCAGTTGATCCTTGAGTTCCAAATTTTCTTCGACCAGTAACATATTTTCTCGTAACAGATCATCAATCTTCTCTTTCCTGAACTCAGCCTCTTTTTTCAGTTCTGTCAAATCATTTGAAACATCAGTGTTATCAGTGGAATGCTCACTTGTAGCTATAAGCTCCCGGAGTTTATCATTCAAAACACTGTTTTCCTTTGATATTTTAGTTAAATATGTTTGTAAGCCTTCAATGTCAGATTTAAAACGTCTATTTTCTTCTTTTAATGCATCATAATCAGTTTTTAATGATTTGTACTGATCATCTGAAGGGATGCCTTTTTCTAGATTGCTATCTTCTCTGCTAGTTGAGTTCACTTGACCAAGGTCACTTGCTTGGACACTTTCTACTTCCTGTTCGGATGCTGTTTGTGCTAATAGATCATCTGTTTGACATTCATTGTTTTGTGTGTTTTTACATGAACTACTTTCCAATTTTCCTATGATTTCGTTCAAATGATCTTTTTCGACTTCCATATCAGCATGTGACTTTCGGACATCATTGATTTCTGTTTCCAGTTTTTTATAACTGTCAGCAATACTCTCTACTTGAGTTTTCAGAGATATATTTTCTAGTGTTAAAGTTTTGTTATCTTCTTGTAACTTATTAATGCTAGCAATCTGTTTCTTGAGTTCTTCTGTTTGAACAGTCAATGTATTATTGATTTCATTCAAATTATCTTTTTCCACTTCCATATCAGCATGTGATTTCCGTACAACATTGATTTCAGTTTCCAGTTTTTTATGATTTTCGGTAATGTCTTGTAATTTTGTCTTCAAAGATGTATTTTCTAGTGTTAAATTTTTATTATCTTCTTGTAACTTATTTATGCTGGCAATTTGTTTGTTGAGTTCCTCTGTTTGAACAATCAACTTTTTATTCTCATTCTTTATAGCATCAAGGTCACCCAATGTATTGTTGTGCACATCTTTGAGGGCAACTAATTCTTTTGTCGCCACGTTACTATCATTAGTCAAGGAATCCAGTTTCTCCACCAATGTCTGTTTCTCATTTTCCAACAGCTTCAGTTGTTCATTAGATTCGAGATACTGTGTTTTTTCAAACTCCATGGCTATTTGTAGATTTTGGAAGTTGTTTTCATATTCTTTGATCTTGTACTGTAAGTTTTCTTTTTCCTCTTTAATGAAACTTAGCTCATTTTTTACTACTTCATAACGTTCTGTGATATTTTTTACTTCTTCATCTATGAGGTTCTTTTGTACCTCAAACTCAGTAATAGTTGACTTCAGATTATTATTTTCATCACGGAGAGCATTTAATTCTGAATTCAGTATGTCATATTTTTCTACACCTACTTTCAGTTCTTTCTGCAACTTGTTATTTTCTTGTCTTAACTCATTCAGTTTGTTATTATTGGAATTAGTTTCGCAATGTGAAATGTTGTTGAAAGCATAATTTATTTCTTTAGTTAAGGATATAAATGCTTCATTGTTGATGGCTTGTAAGGACTTGGCCTCACTCGAAATTAAAAAGATAAGTTTTCTCAAATCCAGAATTTCATTTGCAAGTTTCACAATACCTGCTTTCATTTTAGTATTTTTCACAACTTTTTCGTGCATGATTGCATTCTCAGATTTCAATTCAGTAATAACCTTACGGAATTCGATATTTTGGGTTTGTAATAACTCGTGATTTGCTAACAATTTTTCAATTTCCGATTGTAATTTGATCAATTCATCTCTTTCTTCTTGTATTTCGGATTCTAGTTTCGCATATTTGTCTTTCCATATACTCAATTCTTCAAGAACTTCATCTTTCTTGGAGTCTTCCAAGGCTTGATCCTTTAAGATCTTTTCTCTTTTTTGCAATTCTGTTTCTAATTGTCCTATCTGAGTGCTTTTCTTTGAATTTTCTTCACTTAGCTGTGTGTTCCTGTTTTCTAAATATGTGTTCCTGTCAATCATGGCTAATTTCTCTGCAGTTTCTTGTTTCATTTGTAACTGAAGACATTTGTACCCTTCATCGGCTTTTGTTTTCGTTTGTTCTAAATTATGACATTTTTTCGTCAATTCTTCTATTTGGGCCTCCAACTCAGAAATCTTAGTTTTGAATGAATTCAGTTCAGAGTTATCTTGACTAAGTTTTACTTTTTCCGCTTCTAATGCCGTTACATTGTTTTTATAGTCATTTATGACTATATTCAATGATTGTATTTCTTTTTTGCTTGCCTCCAAGTAATCTTTTAGAGATTTAATTTCTGATTCTTTGCTTTCCAACTCTTTGTGTATACTCAATTTATTTTCTGCTAAAGAAATAGCATACTCCTCTTCTCGCTTGCTAAATACTTCAATTTTACCGCGTAGTTCAGATATTTCTTCTTGGGCTTTTTGGAAGTCGAGTTCTAATGTCGATACCTCTCTTGATTTATTAAATTCATACACATTAATTTTGTTCTGTAATTCTTCGTTTATATTATTTAATTCCTGGATTTTTTGTTTGGATTCTACCAGTTGATCAGAACTGACTTTAAGTTGTTCAATTTCTTTATTTTTGTTTTCAAGCTCATTTGAAAGAATTTGTATCTCTGTAGTGATTTGGGAGTTTTTCTCTTTACTCGATTTCAAAGATTCTTTGTACTTGTTTAGAAGCTGTTCCATTTTTTCAATCTTATTATTCAGTGTGATTATTTCTGCTGCTGAAGATTCTTCACTGATTTGATTTCCCTCATTATCATTAGATAGATTTATTAGTTGTACATCTCCATCTCCTTCAGTAGATTTAGTTTTGTTCTCATTTTTATCACTACTAGAAATATTTGAATTACTTTGTAGTAATTGGACTTTAGTATTAAGAGTCTCAATTTTCATGCACTTTTCTTCAATCTCAACACGAAGAGCTTTTTCTAGGTGGGCCTAAAAAGGAAAAAGAAACAATACATTAAACATTTGTCAACTTACAAAATATAAAAGGAAATGCTATTTCATATGAAACAAACGTCGACCTATATAGTATAAAAAAAATTTGAATAAAACTTACTTTTGCACTTTGTTCCAACGCACATTGCTCTCGAAGTTCTGATATTCTTCTTAGGGCTTTATCTTGAGTTTCGACCAAGACACTCTAAAAACAAAATAGAAATGAATCTTTATATGTTGATATGAAAAAAGGTATAATAAAAAGTTATTAATAATGTGACATTTACCCTTGCTTTAGCATTTTCTCTTTCCAATAATTTGTAGTGACGAGCTAGGTCACCATATTGGGTTCTGTACTTTGTATATCTTTCTTGTGTGCGTCGGTATGCAGCATACAGTTGTTCTTTTGTGACCCGATCAAGACTGACATTTCCACTAGAGAAACCTCGCTCTTCAGCTTCACTAGCAGAGACCTCCATATCAGACTAAAACAACACCATTTATATAAAAATACAAATTATTTGCGACGATTTGCGACAATTTTACATTTAATATCTACGTAACAAGTTGCATAATATTTATGGTTGAAGTTCTTAGAATATCGCAGTTTTGTAGGGGTTAAATTCGCAACAAAAGTCATTAGCAGCGGTGTTTCATAGTTAATTATATAACATGAGAGGATGTGAGGATGATTATAAAAATCCTGTATGTGGCAACTTATAACTTACCTGTAAATGGTACATAGAAGGAGTTTCATAACTAGGCAGTCTGAAGGATACATCACTTGCAAATGAGCTGTTTGATAGTCGCCTCTGTCTCTGTTGGTCCTGAAATGAAATAATAATATCATTATTTAAAGTGGTTTATTCACTGTTCTCTAGCAAAATCATACCAATTTTGACTTGAAACTTGAAAATATTCTGTTAGTTTTGGACAAACTGTATTAATAAACTGTTTAATACAATATCGAAATTGGTCAATGCTATTAGGATTGGTACTAAAACCATGAAATATTATGACAATAAGGAAAAATATTAAAGCTAAATAGTGGAGTTTCTTGCCTATTCTTTTAAATACCAATTGATTTGGAATGATCATTGAGCATCGAGCTTCACATACAAACATGCAAACTGACTGATATAAATACTTTCACTTTGTCTTACAAGGATATCATGTGAAGACATGTAGTCCACTGGTTCAGTAGGCTGTAAGGGCTCCAGAAGAGCCACATCTTGGAATGTATTCTGCTGACCATTTGGTGATGATGATTGTGGTTTTGCTGGGCGAGGTTGCTGGCCATCTACAAAATAACATGAATTAAGTATGAGAGTTATAAAATTTTTTTTTTGGAATAGCACAGATCCTGGCATTTCTTCTAGCTTATGGCAAAAGGCTCGCCCCTTATTTGGTATATGGGGCTTATAACATAACTGGTGAATTTACATTGTTTACATACTACTTGAATACTTATTTAGTTTAACAAATTCTTTATTTAAGAATTTGTTATGGGATGACAATCCGGTCATAAAATGAAAATAGAAAGTGCTATTGTTACACACTTGTTATACACATATTACAAACATTCAGAAGCCTAGTAATAATAATATTCCACTAACTTACCATTATCTCCAATTGAGAATAAATCACTATTTGTGATATCAGTTATACTACTGGAGGCAGATGTGACAGCAGCCTGTATCAACAATGTTTGTATCTTATTAGACAGAATTTGTAGGTTCATACATCAATACACAAACATGTATTTTACAAAATTGTTTAAAGCATTAAGTAGAACAAATAAAAAGAAAAGAGAAAGTGAATTATATACGAAAACCTGATTACAAATAAAATGATAATTTATTACGTAGTACACATATATACCAAGTCTAACTAGGCAATAAGGTCACTGGCACATTATTGATTGTTTACAATAAACACACATCACCTGAGCAGCCTGGGCAAACTGCTGAATCCTCTGGGGCGATGATTTCACCTCCTCAGCCAACTTATCCTTTAGTTTTTTAAACATTTTAATTTAAACTTATGTACTTGACACCCTTTCACATAAATTCATTATACTTAGCTCGAGCTATCATTGCATTGGTGTGTTGTACGAGCATATAGATAAGCAGAACTAACACTCCTAATAAATTCACAATGCCTGGTGGAACAGTCAAGACGATAGCAGTAATTATTGGTGTCATGTATTTTACTTCAATTTGCAAAATTATTGTAGTGTTGTTCGATCGTCGATCCTATTCTTCGATCCGTTCTTCTAGTTTTCACTATGGTATATAATTAAGCAATGACTATACTGTACTTCTCCATCAAATTATATGTACAATTGCCAGCAGCTCAACGTACTCCAAGCTGTCAAATTTTTTCATTCGACTTTCGACTTTATTGCTATACTCTGTAAAGTTAAAGATGTAGTAAAAAAATTGACATAAAAGCTGAAGTTTACCTGCTGGCGCTGGCCACCGTATTGGTTACTGTATACCATGCCTTTTGTGAATGGTAACGGTAGGTAGGTTTTCTATTTATTTAATTTACCACTTATTGTCAATGTTTGATTTTTCTTTAATTTTAAACTGCTGCGCTCCATGTTAAATGCAGAATACCGACACTCTCGTATCTCCATAAAATGTAATAAAACAAAAAACAATTCTTATTTATATGTCCTGTGTGAATAATGCACACGACCTATTGCATTGCATTTCCTACAAGCAAAACGCAAATAAAAAATAGCAAAGTTTGTGATGTAAAAAAATCATGTTTAGTTTCGTAGTTAAATATTTTTTCTAAGGATATCGAAATAATTTTTCTGGTTAATTCCATAGACCTAGTTGCTTTTTATTTTAAAGTTTTGTGTATTAGTCAGTATTGGTCATGGTATGTCAAACCATAGACCGTCAAACGCATGTCAAACGTCGAGTTATTTTACAGCTATGATGACAGTGACAGATAAGCATTGATTAGATTTTTAGTTATAAGTGTACAGCTTATTGTGTTTATTAGTTCACATTACAGCTAGAATTACAATATATGTTAGCAAACCTTACGGAACAATGTCGCTATAAACCGTGATTGTAGTTTGTTGGATCGTTATTATTATATTATACTCAGAATTATTTTTTTATCCATCTTCACGTATGTACTTAAGTCTCCATTTTATTACTTTTGTTCTTTTATCAACGTAAGCAAGTAAATTTTATATTAACAAAGTAGCTAAGCCATTCATGAACTGTTTTAAATTTGTCGTATATGTATTAAGTGAAAGCAGGGCATTAAAATAGCACCTTCAAAAAAAAATATAATGGAATCTAAAGCTGGTCATAATTTATAATCAAAGTATTTTGGTTTGTATTCTGTTGAGATTTTAAAGGCATTATTAATTTTTCGGTTCTTTTTTAGCCTGCCATAGTTATGGCAAAAATGTTACAAAAACTACATGCATTAAATTGAATATTATTATCCATGACTACTCATTGATTTGTTACTAATCTTTTCTTTTAGGATTCAACATGGATTATGACAAATATGACATTCTTAATGATGATGTATGTGTAGGGCTAGAAAATGATGATTTCAGGTAAATAAAACCAATTTATTGTATTTTATACTTAAAATTACATATTTTGTACTATTCAGTCGCAAAATACATAAATTCTATATTTTCAGTGCATATCTCAATGATGAAGGTGAACAAGCTGGTGATAAAAAAGGAAACTATACAAATTTTTATGGACAAAAGGGATCTGGAAGCTATGGAGCTGGTGGTTATTGGTTGTCAGGGCAAGGATCTCAGTATACATGTGGAAGAAGTTTTGAACCTAGTGGAGGCAATGGACCACCCCTCCCAACAAAAGATATCAGGCTTAATCCTATAGGTTTCCTGATTAGTAAGCTATTTTACATATATAAAATATTTAATCATTGTTCTTAGCCTTGGCAAATGACTGAACTGACTGACGGACTGAACAGATATTTATTTATTTTATGTCAATAACGTTATTTATTATACTTTCAAACACAACACAATAAAGTGAATATACAGTCCGAATTTCATGTTTATAGCACTTGATGATGAATTAGTCAGTCAATTAGTCAATCAGTGCATTAGAACTTATTGTTTTACAAGTACATATTTTCCTTTGTTTAGGATGTGGTGTTCCAAAGCAGTATTTGAGAGGGATGCCTAGAGCACTACTTAAACTTATGGAGCCTCAATTTTGTGGAGTTTGTAATATGAAACTTGAAAATGATAACTCAAGTAAGTAGTTACTGAGCTGTTAAAGCATTTACAAAGTTTCTCATAAGTTATAACCCAATAAAGTCATCAGTCACCAATAGACTAATAATTTGATACTGGTTCAACTGCCTAACACTAGGATTACTTATCATATGTAAATATACACTTTTCAATTTTTACAGCTCGTTTACATTATAATTCTAAAAACCACACCAGCAAGCAGAAAAAATGGCTCGCCCAACGAGCAGAGCTTGGCCCTCACCGTCCCAATGAGGTAATTGGACTATTTGACAATGTGATTTTTCAGTAGGTATTCTGTCGACAATATCAGTTCACATAATAATATGTACAGACAGTATTTAGCAATACAACACTATTCTAATATATTTATTTCATGTCTTTATAGATGTGTATGTAGGTGGGTAGGTTGTCAGAGACGCTCAAAAGTTGAATTTCAAATGTATCTCTTATTTCACATTATGTTATGGTTGATTATACATTATAGTTCTTGTTAGTTTGCTTGTGATGCTGTTTACATCTCATCTTGTATGTTGGATGGTAAACAGTAAATACCAAGTGAACATTATGTGAACTCCTTCGACTGGATAGAAGATCACATTGATCAAATTGTCCAGCTTCACGTTTTTTTTTCTTAAAACGTGAAGTCTTAAAATGTAGTATGTACTATTTTAAGATAGGTACATCTTCTAATGGAATAAAAGTTACAGAATTAAAATAATATATCAATAATAATTGTTAGCATTGCCTGCAATATTGTTAAATTTTTATAACTGAAGAAATTACCTAAAATAAAGAATTGTGAAGGAGCAGTGCACATCGTAGATTAGCAACCAGTCAACATAGAATCATATGAATTAATTAACTACATTTGTATTTTTAGACTGCACTCAAAGCGCGTGAATTGTATTGCGAGCTGTGTGATGTTCACATCACATCAAAGACTCACGCTGACTCGCATTATTTGGGGAAATCACATCGCGGGTAAGTTAATATCTATCTTTTGCAATAAAATCACGTCTTTTAATCCTTGACATACATAACAGTACCTACTCCTTTATATGGGTAAAGGAGTAGCAGTACTTAATCAATGTAACACAATAAAATGTGAGATTTAATGGACCTATTGATTTATTGATTTCTCCTACTATGCTGTGAGTACCGAGTCCCATGTGAAGGTGAGATTAGACAATAATGTGTCATTTTATTTTAAGGGTTGTCGAGGGTCGCAGGGAGCCAAAGAACCGATATTTATTACAAAGAGGCATGGAAGGTCGTTTGTAAGTACCTAAAAATGTTTTATCTTACTAGTAGCGTTGTATGGCAAAAACGTAAGCTCAACAAATTTTAATATACGATAGTACCTACTAATACAAGATGTTGTTTTTTATAGATATTCACTTATTCGTCGCGAAAAGAAGTACTTAAAATCCGCTGAAGCAATTCAGAAATCTACTTCGAAGCCCAAGGAACCCGTCAAGGTAGTCGCGCGTCCGGATTTAGAACTGTGCTGTAAAATCTGCAAGGTAGGGTGTTATTCTCACCTTTGTATCTATTTCTATTATTTCCTGTTGGTCATTGTCTCGAATTTTTCTTGTAATACAAACCTTGTTCTAATGAATACGATAAAAATAATTATTATTCAATTTGGTCCAGTACCTACCTAATTCAGGAGTTATGCGCGATATTTCGCTAAACATACTTATAATTTACTTATTATTTACGTACTTATAATTTTATAGATGGGTTTCATTGCCCGGTGCAGTTCTAGCAAAGCAGTTTATTCGGGCCTTACGCAATAGCCTCTGTGAAAAGAAACAATGTAACCGAGTATAAACATTAAATTCGGTACTCACTATGTATCTTTTATAAGTAATAACCGTTGTGTTCTATACCCCGAAGGGGTAGGCAGAGGTGCACATTACGGAACTGTTGAACTTTGTTATTAATTATTTAGGTAATTTCAGGTTACAGTTACATGCATCGAGCAGATGGCTAGTCATATGAACGGTAAAAAGCATCTCTCCAAAGAAAAACAACATATTCTTAAAATGATGAAATTGAAACCTGGTGCACCTGAAGATGCAAGTAAGTGTGGTATGTGGTATGCCCATTGTAATTTAATCATTGTAAGAAGAACAATGTTAACCGAGACTATGCTTTCAGATAAAACAGTTAGTGATGCTGATGATGCCTCAAAACACGACGGTACGTAGGTATTTTTATTGGACATGATAAAGTATTCCTACTTTTTATTTAGATTATTAGATGGATATTATATGTTATGTTTAGAGTCGATTTTTCGATTAACAGTTAATTTTTAACTGTAAACTAAAATTGATATTTGACAGTGTTTAGTATGAAAGAATTGTCAAATATTCAAAGTTATTTCTCTGATAAAATTTAACTGAACAGCGCCGGATGCTACATATGCTGCACCAAAATATAGATTATTATCCTTTTTTAACTTTTATCTAATTTCTTGTTTTTCCTGTTCAAGTTAAGCCGTCTTCTGTATGATTTGACTGCATATATTAATTTTCTTTTGCTATTGGGCAATTAGATATACTAAAGAAGTTGGATTTTACAGTGGCCAACAGGTCAATTTATCCTGTTCTTTCAAATATCTCTATTATATCTTCAACTTTATTGTATTGACAGTAAATCGAAAATCCAATTAACAAATTTGGCAGATTGGAGAAGGTTGAGCTGCTGGCCACTGTACTATAACATTTTTTCATGTAATTATGTATATTTCTTATTTCAGTAGCTAAAACTTCAGAAACTCCGGTACAAAAAGAGTGTGAAGGTGATAATTGGTGTGATGGAGATGGCACTTGGGAAGACTGAAGATACTCAATAAATACCAGCATGGTAACACAATTATTTAAAATTAAAATATTAATATCTAACAATATTTTTGTTGTAATACAATTAATTAGTTTGTACAATTATTTCGTTTTATAAATTCTGTATTGTTGGGCTGCTTTATTTACATGTACAGTGTTTTTTTTTCAGGCTTCACTTTGTTGAACGAGGTTCACTTCCAAGCGCCGTATTCTGAAAGAGTGCATTTAAATATAAATATGTATTATTCCATTTTAAAACAAAAATACATTTATTTTATTGAATTTCAATTTTTATTTCAAAGCATTCTGATATACCTGCATCGCACATTTATCTTTACTGCTTTAGCATATATATAGTTATATAAACAATGTGGTAGTTGACAGGGTATGAAAATTAAAATTTTATTTAGTTCGTTAGTCAAGTAATGAAAAATATTAGACACGAATTATTAATTTCGTAGGATAGGAGTCGTATGTGCTGCTTTTTTGTCTTAATTATAATAGGTAACTATGCAAATATTCAAGTTTAGTCAAATAAGTTACATGAAACAAACACACTAGTAATTAATAGATTAGTTGAGGTTTTCTTTAGACTTGCGTTTTTTATAATTGAAGTAGGTAATTTACTTACCAGCAACACGTGTTTCTTCTGCGTCGGCGTTGGCCGAAAAAACAGAAAAGCGCTGATCCTACCGCTATGAGTAGAATAATTACTATAAATGCTTGTAGTACAGGGTTACTGAAGTCAAATCCACCTCCAGTTCCGGCACCGCCTTTTGATTTCGTTGAAGAACTTTTTTTGACGGCCGATGGAGTCTTGGCCATTTTCGGAGTTGACTTTGCTTCATCTATTTGTCCCATTTTTCATCATTCTATTAATGTCTCATTATGTAAAGCCATGTTTTTAGTTTTGTTTTTTATGAGGTAAATATCTACTGTTTTATTTTAGTTACATGTTAACGGAAATTTTGTATTGAATTTTGACATTATGTTTCCATGTCTAACCGCTACCGGTCATCAAGTTGATTGACAGAAATGTCTTGATAGAAGAAAAATTGAAAATACTTAGTTGTGGTTCACGTTGTCACTAAGTACTAAGTAGGTAATAAAGAAAGGACAATTGTAAAAAAAAATCCAGGCTTGGCGCAAACAAAATGTAAGTATCTTATTTATTTTGTATTACCTATACAGAATAACTTGTAAGTCGACGTATTCGTCACGGGAGGTCATAATACAACTAAATTTCTACAAAAAAGCCTTGAGGTCCCTAGTCCCAAAGTTTCGTGTTGGAATATCACTCGTCTCCTAGTTTCTAAATTCACATTTTCAGTGGCACTAGATCGTTCTTTAAAATTTTTTCCTATATCTCCCAATTTAAATTGTTGGGTAAAAAGTGGGGTCCAATTAAATATTAAATGATTTATGTCGCCCATCAAAATGTTTAATTTCAACACGATGGTTGTTCAGCGCACTGTTGAATTACTACGCGACAGTGGCTAGATACCACTATCCCAAGGCGTTGGATTGGCAGGAGGAATCTTCCACGGTGTCTAGACCTAACACCAGTTGACTTTTACGTGTGGGGCTACAAGAAGGCCCAACGCCAATAGCAACTGTTGTAATCCTTCTCGGAAAAATAATCGAAGCGGCTGAAGAAATAAAACCCACATTCAGTTCTAGTGTGACCGTCACAGAGATGAGGAAACGTGTGTACCTATTCATCGTAGGGTAGGTCACTTAGAACATTTTTTTCTGATTAAGATGTGTTTGAAATTGCCTTTTTTTCTTTAGGTACATTTACTTATCATCGAGTATTATTATTTTTGAGAATTTAACTTTTTGGGGAGTTGATAAACCAAGGAAGTTTTTCTATAGTTTTACGCTAAGTGCAATATCATTTTTTTTTAAATGAGTACAGTTTCTTTATTGACTACAACATTTATTTGAATTTACTTGTTATTTTAAACGAATGATAATTCTGCCAGTAAGGTAGTTCGAAAGTATTTATCCTAAACCAAAAATTGTTGAAATATCTCAGAAAGCAGCCGAATGTGCGTGGTATGAACCAGTGGCGTAGCGTGCCTTGGGGGGGGGGGGGCTCCGTATAAAAATTTGTTTAGGGGCCCTTGAAGGGTAAACATTTCTCATAAGAGATTTTGTACATAAAATACTTATAATTTGTGTGAAAACTGAAAATTTTTTCAGGCAACTCCCTCTGCTCTAAGCATGCTTTACGCGGGAAAAATGTTTTTTTTTTACTTTTGTGATTACTGAAATAGAATAAAAATTGGGAAGTTTTTATTAATTTTTGCTTAGTCACGTTGGGGGCCCCTGTAGTCCGGGGGCCCCGTATAATTGATACGGCAGATACGGCGCTAGCTACGCCCCTGGTATGAACTATGATACTTTGATCCGAAATCAAAGTCTCACAGTCGCACATCACGCACATTCCCGGAACAATAATAAGTATGTGGATCACACAGTGGTTACTTGCTAAAATCGAACCCGTGACTGGCCGTGCGCCAACCTTGCTGTTGATATTATTCAACTTACCGACCTATTCAGTTTGTTTACTGAAATTTATACCACGATGGTGGCAAGAAAAGCACACGTCCCACTTGGTGGTAAGCGCCAGTGGTTACCGTGGCCGATAAACGCTTGCAACACATGCGCCTTGCCGACTCTTTATAAACCTATTTACTCTGTTGAAGATATTTTTATGTAAGATTCTTTCTATTTTTTATATTTGATGTGCTGACGATGGTTATATAGGTGTTTATCTACATTATGTTTGAAGCGCGTAGGTATAGACAGATGACTTATTTTTAATATAGGCACCTATCATTTGTTCTGCCAATCTAAATGATCAATTTATAATTACACCAGAGTTACCCATTATGGGTTACTATTCAGAGCATGAAAACAAAGACACAAAGCATAGTTATAGATAAATATATTAGTCCGCAAGATACATTTAATTTTTTATGTTCAAATATTGCTCGAGCATTATGGTTTAGCGCTAGCTAGAATGCTATTTATAAGTGAGCCTGAATCTTATAAACATACCAATCTGGTAAAATTACATGTTCCTTGTAAATATCCTTAGTCACTGTGATTTTTTGTTGGCTATCAATATCAAACTTCAGTGTCAACGGTTCTTTAGACGCAAAAGGATCACCAGGGGTATCCTTTAGAGATTTGAAACAATTCTCTACGTAGTTGAGGAAATATACTAAATAGTCGATGGCTACTTGTGGATTCCATTCGTCCTGTAAAAAACAAAGAATTCCTTTAGTTATCTATTGAAATTAATTCTGCGCTAACTGCAGTAGCTGGTTGATCAATTACCGACTGTGCAAAATGTTGCACAAATCCTGTGTTGGTAAACAAGGCTAATAAGGGTATTCCTGAATATTAAATAAAATGGGATGATGACAGGGTATGAAAATTAAAAATATAATTAGTCCGTAAGTTAGGTAATTAAAAAATATTAGACACGTATTTTTTTATTTTGTCGTATAATAAAACAATACTTAGATAAAACGAATCAAAGTTTAGGAGTTAGGGCTAAAACGTCATTTCTTAGTATAAAATGTAATGAGAAGTGACGTCACGCCACATTTCAAATCAATATATCTTCGAAACTATTCTTTCCGTAAGAAAATAAAAAATACATGTCTAATATTTTTAAATAATCTACCAGACAGATATTAAAATAAAAATTAGTCGTCTACCCTATTACAGCACGTCAGTACTTTCCGAAATTACTAATGGTTAGCCACAATTTTTAATGGTTTTATTTAGCTCAACCCGTTTGTTTAGGTCAAAATTAGTCATTCGAATTTTACCCCCTTTCTGGCGAGTCTGACGGCAGATTGGTTTGATTTTTAGGACACACTCTTAATCTCGATGACCATACATTATGGCAATCAAAATTTTTTGCACAACTAGTTTCATTATCAAGTTCATTAAAACCATTTACAACAATTAAAGTATTTTTTATGCATTACTTGTTCCTTCATTTGAATTATATGCAGAGATGGGTACACTCTGATTTTTGTAAGAAATATTTGAAAGAGGTATGTAGGAATCCTAGTCATTGGCGTTTCATATTCTCTGCCTAACACCATGGGAGACAAGTGTGAAGTTATGTATGTATGTATACACTCTGGTCGCGACGGATTGCCGAAACAGGAGAGTGAACGATAATAGAGTAGGCTAGTCTTATTACTACAGGCAGGTAGTTAACCCTGTAATTATATTAAAATAAAAACATTTTTAAAACTTACTCCACAGTATTTTACTATGTCTTCAGTATCAAACCATTGTACTCTTTGAATAATGCCATCATCATTTCTGTAGCCTACGAGTAACCCCTTTAGTCCTGCTAGGTAACACTGACACCAACAACGAATCATTTTGTATCTCCTGCAAAATAGATTATACATAGTTTAATAGTTTATTCAAACAAAGTAAACAGTGTGTGTTCGATAGCAATAATTGTAACAACTACCAGTGGTGGTCAAACCTTTGTTTTTATTTATTTTATGTTAAATATTAATTCTTCATGGACTCTTGGTCTTGTCATACATTTTCATGTGTGTGGCTTTACCAACAGTATTAATGGAGTACTAATTTATTAAATGTTAATTAACTGGCAATAATAGGGGTTTGTTAGCATTTCATTTGAGCATCTCTTAATAAATATGTTTTAGGTACTTACTTAAAATTCTGTTCCTGCCTATTGTTATGTATTTCCCTATTAGTTTTTAGCTCCACAAACTTGTTGCTCCTCAAATACGCCAAATTGATATTTACATCATCTGTGTTCGGAGGTCCTGGTGCTGTTCTTGTGGCTAGCATTCCATCAATTTGAGCACCATAGAATAACCTGTGTTTACCTAATTGAGAACTATAATACATAGAAAATTCTTCATTTTCCACAACTGGTTTCTTTACATTAGGTTGCATACAGGGTACATCTGAAAAATATCAATAAGAAAGGTAGGTACCTAGGAACATCACTACCTACCTACTACTAGTACTACTTCCTACATCTCAGTAAAAATTTGTGAATTTTAACTGTTCAAGTTTTATTTATTTCATGCAAAAATGGCATTAGAAGTGAAATTACTGACTTTATGGATACCTGTTTTATAGACTTATCATTTTATTGTACCTGACAGCATGTATTGCTCAAACTTATAGCCCCAAGCACAAAACTTAGCATTCTGTGCAGATGGATTGCGATTTTGTAAGTCTTGAGCAGTATTAACTGAACACAGATATATGCCCTTTTTTAGTAAACTAGCCACTATGCTTATTGGCTCGCGAGTGTACACGCTAGTCATAACACTAATCAAAGTCCTACGATACGTTATAAAGGTTGTGTCAAAGGGTTCAATCAAAAAATCTAAGCGATATCTTTGGTCTAGGAGAAATTTCAGCATAAGTGATATTTTTTCGTCGTTTTCGTCTGTCGTACGCTTAACAGCATTTTCGATGTTGTGGTTTAAGTTGTAACAAATCATTCCTTTCGGTATTGACGTTAAGTACTTCAATTGCGACAAATTATGATGATATTCGCGACGCACATCAACGCTCATGTAACCGATTATGTAGGGATAACCCATATGAAGATTTCTTTGTGTTCGTTGATTCTTATCCCTTTTTGTGTTCATAATTCTACGTTTTCTAAAAGTTTCTAAGAAATTAAAAAAAAATGTTATAAACAAAACACCCTTTTGTATTTGTTTTGAACTTTTGAATGTTTTGAATTCTCAATCTCAAGTCAATTGTCATGTCTGTCAATATTATCAATGTCAGTGTATTGTGTATCAGACTCGGTATCAGAATAGACCATAGACAGAAACGTAGAGATGAGAAATCAGATTAAATATACTTTTAACAAAAATAATTCAGAATTCAAGAATGGGAAGCTGTTTTAGTTCGTTCTAAAACCGGTCAATATTTAATTAACTATTTTTTGACGCTGTATTAGGAGGTATCATATTTTTTAGCAGACATTATTAATTACATCAAGATTTGTAAATAAATTCCTTCCCGTTTCCAGTTATTCTTTTTTTAGTACCTAAAGAGTCCATTTTTATTTGGTCAGCCAGCATTCAGTCAATGGGGACTCCCCATTAGTAATAAGTTGCGGTTCAAAGTTCAACCATGGATATAGGAGGTGGTACCTACTTGGTTTTATTAGTCACAGTCATGGGCATTCTCCCCGCAAAGTAAAAAATGTGGGGACTTCTTGTACATACCATTACATTGTGCATAGTACAGATACCTAATAGATAGGTACCTGCCTCTCATGTAAACAGTAAAGCTTTTTAGAACTTTGAACATTCATGCCATGGTGTCATAATTTTGGCTTAAAATTCTAAGCTGCATGGTAACTGAAGTTACAATATAGTTACAGGGTTACAACTTAGTTTTAATAAACACTGGGGGACTGGGATATGAAAACTCATTTAATATAAAGAACATAATTTAATGCATGACAAGATTTACTTCTGCTAATGTGTGCAACACAAGCACAAAAGAAAATATTGAAAAACAAAATAGTTCAATCTTTTGGATATAGTAGGTAGTATTTTTAAAACATGAGAAAAATAAAAATGACTAAACTTACATAATACTATTGTGTAAGGAAAGGTACCTACTTGAAGAAATTAAACTATTTAAAAAATATAAAATACAGTATGCACTTAAACATAACTATCATGGCTCAAATAGTAGCCCTATTGAGTTTGCTTAGGTTATAAAATATACATACGATTTTTTAGCAGCCATAGTCTAATATCTTTGGAATGTACATTATTGCTTGAAACCTATTTTCATTTGCAAATTTATGACAAAATGTAACAATTGATTTAGAAATATTATTTCATAATTATTCAATGATTGTAAATTAATGTAAATGTATGGGGCATATGTAAAGCATAAGCATTACAACTAGTCAGTATTGTAAACAAAGTTATAGCCTGTCATCAACCTAAGTTATTCTGAGCCACAATCAACAATACTCATATATGATATGAAGATAACTTCAAATTGTTAATATTAATTTGGTCATAATGATAGACATAATGTTTCATGACACCATTAATTGGGTATGGTACCAATATACTAAACCGTAAAAGTATACATGGATAAGTGATGTAGACAATGTTTTCAAACATGCAAATTTGAGTCACACAACATAATATTACATAAAAATAAAGTTTCCGTTTTGGGACAAACAATTTCAAATAGAGTTGGCAATAATAACCAATAAATATATAAACTTAAAATAATTTGATTAACTCTAAATTAAATTAGTATTAGTTAGGTACTTTATTAGTAGAAACTGAATACAGACCACACTCCTTTTGCCCTTATTTTATGTAAAATGTTTAGGGGGTACCACTACCACACTATTCCTTGTATAAAAGCACAAATATTGTCCATAATTACAAAATTTCTAAGGCTATTTAATTTTTTTTGGCTATATAATACTCGAGATCGTTTATTCTATATCTGGCAGATCATCTTCATCAGACGAGCTGCTGGCCCCTTTGTCGTTTTCATCACCAAAGTTTGGTAACTTGCTGGAGAACATGTCATTCATGTCATCAAACTCATCTCCACTCTCATCCTCATCTTGCCAACGGTTGAAGTCCACCTTGAGCCAATGATGTTTCTTTTTATCACTGGTTAAGGCAGGCCAAAAAGCTTCATCAGTTTTTGCTTTTGCCAAAACTACTTCGATTAACCTTCCTTTGTTTGTGTATGAACTTTTGTCTGGGTCTATTTCCGAGTATAATGGTATGAAAACCTTATGTAACTTCTGATCCGGCGTGCAAGTGCCTTCAAAAGACACATTTTTTTTAGCAATTACAATATCTGGTTTCTCACATTCTACATTAAATGTCAAAAATACATGAGCACTCCTCTGTGCCCACGAAACTGATGGTGGTGTAGCATTTATTTCCGGTGTCATTTTGTCTGCAAATAACGTAAATATACATTAAATACATACGAAACTTTGATACTATTATGTTGTCGGAAATATTTGATGGTATACTTACACGTTAGCTAGTGTTATTAGATTAGTTCAGGCAAACAACGTTAGCTTAGCTTTTGGTTTTCACTCTGGCTGGCTAAGGCTAGGCGAGTACTTTGACAAATGCCACAGACAGAATGAGGGACTGGTTGTATTTTATATGACATTTTTAATTGTGTTGCCAACGTCTACTAACCAGTTTGTAATAAAGAATTCTATGCATCGTCCGACTTCATCGATACAACTTAATTGTGTAAAAATAAAAACAAATTAATTCCTGTCTCTCTCCTTAGTTTTAAAATACAGACAGACACATTAAAATAAATTGCATACTTGTCTATTGTGGATATTTTTTTAAAGACTTATTAGGTTTTCTTCTGCGTCATGGGTGCATTTTCAAGCTTATTATTCATGTCATGAATTCACATCAATGAGTTTAATAAGTATATATAGGTAATAAATATAATAATTATAGTAACAACAACTTGTGGAATACATAAGAGTTGCTCGGTGCAGGAATCGAACCCGCTACAGGTTAAGCGGCAGCTGGTTATCCAGCCATCGAAACTAGCTGCGGCGCCTGCCCTGTCATAAACAAGGTACATAACTTAATATAATAATATTAATTGTGTTAAAAAAGTGTAAAAATAATATTATTTTCCCCAAATTTAAAAATAGGCGTGTGTAGCTTTCTTCGATGCGTAAAATATTATATTTACAAACATTCTACCAACATTTATTTATCTTTATGTATTAGTTTGTGTTGTTTCTTATTACCTGTACCACAAACAAATATTTTCCGGGGCTTCCCAATAAACTGCAATATAATTTTAAGTGCTTACCCATGACTGCAGTAGTACTTACCATAATACCTAGGTACCTATATTTATTTACAATCTTTGGAGAACGTTTTACAGTTGATTTAATTTCTGATTTGTATTATAGCAGTAATTTACGTTTTTTATTTGTATGTATATTTTGCTTTCATAAATAATAATAAAAATATAGATTATCAACTTTATATTTATTTATGACTAACTGCTTGAATTGTCAAACGGTCGAAAGTATCGTGTAAGGGGCCTCGGTTTCATTCCCGAGTCGGGCAAAGTTATTCGATTTTTTTTTAGTAATAGCACCGTCTAACGAGTCTGGAATAAGTCGTCCATCTGTCTTTATTAACAAATAAAAGACTGTTTATGAACCTTATATTTTATTTTTCGAGGGTAACCTCTATGGCATTTTTTGTGTTTATAAGAAAATCATTGTTATGATACAATTTTATAGTATAATAAATAACACAGTTTTGTCCAGCACTGTACTTAACACTAACCTCACACTCCTGAATGACGCATATAAAGAATTCTATTTAGGTAGTACGTTACGTTGCCTGCCATAAGTTGACAGTAGGAATGTAATAATGTAATTAAAAAATTTATATTTATCCTTCTGTACCTACATCACTGGAACTGGATTGAAGTGTGTTTTGAATTTTACGAGGTTCAAATCTAATTATACAGTTAGGTAAATGCTAACTGAAAAAAATCTCAATAGTGTCCAATGGCGTAGCATTAGAAAACTTTAACGCATTTAGGTATAAATGCGTTAAAGTTTTACGTAGACATTTTATAGTATCTGGATAGATCTGTAGGTGCGTCAACTTACTACTTAGGTATACCTAATTATTTTGATTTTATGAACTTTATTGTACATTGTGTCTCGTTATGATAAATGAAGTAATGTAAGTTCAAATAATACCACAACACTATTCTAACGAGATTTCTCAACACATATCAACAGAGGCGGTACAAAAAAATTGAAATATATAAAAATAGTGATTTTTCACGGGTCCAGCAAGCAATATTACAGGTAGGTAGTTGCTGTTTTTAAATTATTTTCTAAAACATTATTTCAACAAGATGGCAATTAATATTAGGTACTTAATCAAATAACTTAGACAACTTATTGAGAAAGGCACTGTTAAATAACTCCACCATTACTAAGGTATGTGTCCTTTGCTATCTGGTATAGTTGTGCTGACATTTTTTCACTGGTTTCTTTAACCATTTTGGTGAAGTGTCCTTCAGGGTTGTTAAGGAGGAGGTAAGGATGGTCGAACTCGACTAGTCGCCCGGAGTCCATCACCATGACTCGGTCCGAGTCCATGATGGTGTTCAGTCGGTGAGCCACCGTTAGCACGGTGCAGTCCGCAAATCGCGTCCTGATTGTTCTTTGGATAAATTCATCCGTCCTGAAAAGAAGTAGTTATATAAAATAAGTTAGCTACTTTTAATTTTGTTCTCAATGTATGCCAAAGGTTTGTTAAGTTAGAAATTGGTTAAAAATAGTTTACTTGGGGTCGACGTTGGCAGTTGCCTCATCGAGCACGAGGATGCGGTTGGCGCGCAAAATGGCACGCGCGAGGCATACGAGCTGTCGTTGTCCCAGCGAGAAATTCGACCCTCCCTCCGACACCTTGAAGTCCAGTGACGGTACTGCAGCCTTCAAGTCCACCTAAACAAAAACATGATTAGCACTTTACGGGACTACATCTAGATACCTACTGAATGTTGGTCTCACATAAGGTATTCAAATACCATACTTTATTGTAGTAAATAGTTTGGCTTGAACTTTTGCTAGTGCAAATACAATGCAAATTCACACAACTTTTTCCGACGTAAGTACATACCTAAATGTCGTTGGCGTCACAAGGAATGTGTAGGACTGATAGTCAACACATTTTAACATTTTAAAAGTGGAACTTGGCTTTAGAGTATTGTTACGATTAACTACAATTTTTTTCATTAAATTCGGGTGGCGTGGCTAGAGAGGTTTAATAAGTAGGTATATAATCAAGGTATGTAGCTATTATAGAACTCACAGCTTCTAACGCCTGCCACAGCTGGTCGTCATCGTAGTTGTTGAATGGATCCAAATTGTATCGGACAGTCGCTGAGAATAGTACCGGTTCCTGGGGTATGATGGATATCTTCGATCGCAGGTCCTGGAACGCAAGATGTTATATTTTTTGTTTAAGTAAACAATAATTACAGATTCTTTTGATGAAAGGTAATAACATTTCGCGAGCTAATTCAATGTTAATTAAAACAATACGTTTACCTGTAGAGCTAAGTACGCAGTGTCAACGTCATCAATGAGCACTTCTCCTTCAACGATGGCAAGGCGGAACAGAGAAGAGATCAGTGATGATTTGCCGGCGCCAGTCCTACCTACGATGCCCACCTGCAAACATTTTCATTAGTGAACATATCTACAACTTGGCACAGTGAATAACTGTATCTGAATAGTTATTTTCTATTTTACCTTCCATCCACTTTCTATAACTAAATTGAGATTCTTTAGCACTGGCAAGTCTTCGGGGGTATATTTCATGTAACAGCTTTTGAATTGAATTTGGCCACGTGAAGGCCAGCCCTTCGGAGTTTCTTTTTCTGTGAACAAAAAACTTACTTTAGCTACAAAATTCATACTTTTTGTTGTAGTACTAAACTACAGTGCTAGAAGTGTAGTTACGTCGAATTCTTTCGTCGAGGTATGAAAAATACTAACCTCCTTTGTCCCACTTGGGTTCTCTTTCGATGTGCGTATACTGCAATATTCGTTCTACACTGGTCATCTGTGAGATGACCTCCGCCGTCTGTCTCACTCCGAATTGAAGCATTCCCGTTAGGATCAACGTCTGTGATATCGCCAGCCCCACGTTGCCAGAGAATATTGTTTCTGTGTCATACGATATATTGTTAGATAGAAATATAGAATAGAAATAGAATGCATAGAATATATCGATAGAATGCAAATAGCATTTGTAGGTGTTATAATAGATTAATTTATTTTGTAGTATGGAAGTACTTACTACTGTCGATTACGAGGAAGGCGACGATCACTATGGTGAGATATATGACGCAGATGAAGTCCAGCCAGAAGCCAAGCGTTACACCACTTGCCAGGTAGCTGCTCCATGTCGAAGTGTGGATATCCTTTACACAAGTAACACAAATGTCAATCTAGATCTGGAGAGAGTGCTCACACCACTTGTTATACAAAATTAAGAATTGATTTGGGAAGTTCATGAGATCTAGAAAATAATATGTCGGCTTACCTACATTTTAACATTAGGTTTGTATTAGTTAAAAGGTATGAAGTTTGAAAGCTATTAATAATAATAATAAAGATTTTCTATAAAGTTGCCAGGTGAGTTGTTTTACGTACCTGGAATCTATCAAATTCCTTAATCAATCTTTGTTCCGCTCCAGCTGACCGTATTGTGCTGATGCCATTGAGAGTAGCAGACATATGGGAGAATACGGGACTACGAGCTGCAAGAAATTTGTAAAATCAGTAGATAATTTGACCTAGGTATAGATTTTTTTTAATTTATTTAAAGAAGAAGGAGATCACTCACTTGTGCCTTCCAACCTTTTGATACCCTGCGCAGACTTTAGATATATTTGAAGAATAGTGTAGAATAAAAGAAGAATGATAGTAGTAGGCAGAAGCGTCCAAATGAGAGCTGCTGCATTGAGGGCCAGAATACTGAACATCACTAGGTAAATCTGGATACATTCAAGAAGGAATCGTGGTAACAATTCGTCTAGTGCTCCGATGTCTTTGGAGAACCTGTTTAGGATTCGGCCTGCGAACAGATACATTCAACATTAGGGATATGATGCTATAACTTTTACTTTGGAGATTTTATAGACAGGCTGGTACTTACCAGAGGAGTTAGTATCGAAGAACCTCATGACCCCCCTGAGCATAGAATGGAACATATCGTTGTGGAGGTTGCGGGACGCTGTCATGCACACCTTGAAGAACATGAATGCACGTGCCGTGATGAAGAATATGCAGCAAACAATCAATGCTGAGTACACGTACAAATAATGAGCAGTATCTAGAGGTCCTATATATGCGTGGATGTC